CCAGATTATATTTATATGATAATTTTCCTTTAAACCCATCTCTATCTAAGTGAGTGAGTGATTAAATGTTGAATGTGATGAGTTTTCAACAATACTAAATTAAAAACTTAAATTTTTTTTTACATGGTTTAATATTTTTTTTGTTAATAAAATTGAAGTTCCTGTTTCAAAGCTAACAGATAGATGGCTAATTTGTATGTCATTGACACTTTTGGCTCTTTTTTGGAGTATTTTCATAAGTTTTGTTTTTTCCTGTAAATGATTCAATAAATACCGTACCGTGACATTCATACCGAGGTATTACCGTACCGTGAAATTCTGATACCGTTACATCCCTAATAATAACTTATCTTTTTGCTCACGTTACTTGATAACTAGTACGTTGGTAGAATTAAAAAAACAAAGTCATTAGATATTCACAAAATGAATACTATATATTGCTTAACAACTATTGAAAGATGAGATCCCGCAGCAAATCTGAGAAGGACAGGCCTATGTTGGCTGCTCTCAGCTCCCGTGATGTACGTTTCAGTGGAGTGGTGTGGACGAGGAACTTTTCAGAAACGCCAATTGAACTGCCAGTGTGGATGTGGATCGTTTTCATAATAAAGCACTATTTGAACACTAAAATGTATCAGTGTAAACAGGGCCTCGGTTTAGTTTACAAGGCAAAAAAAACAAAAGCAGGGAATGGAAGGATTAGGTTACATATCTTCAGCTGCAGTCTGTGTCCTTTGGTGAATTGGATTAAATTGGCCATAGTGTCTAAATGGAAAAGTGTGTGAGTGGTTCCCAGCACTGAGGGTTGTATGATCAGTGTTGGGTTGCAGCTGGAAGGGCATCTGCTGTGTCTATGCAGGAGAAATTGGCGGATAATAAATCAAGTTAAGCCAAAATAATCATGGCTGTAATGTTGTGTTTGATGTCAGCTGTGTGCGCAAATGGATGCTGAATGGTTTGCTACTTTTACACATACCAATGGATTCTGCATAACAGGGCAATATTCTAATTGGGTCAAAGTTGTTTTTTATTATTATTGCTATGTTGTGGGAAAGGGTGTCATGGTGGCGCAGTGGGTAGCACACAAGAAGGTCACTGGTTCGAGCCCCGGATGGTTCGGTTGGCATTTTTGTGTGGAGTTTGCATGCTATCCCCGTGTTCGTGTGGGTTTCCTCCAGGTGCTCTGGTTTCCCCCAAAAGTCCAAAGACGTGGTTTAGGTGAATTGGGTTAGCTAAATTATCCGTAGTGTGTTTAAGTGAATGAGAATGGATGTTTTGAAGCTAGAAGGACATCTACTGCTTAAAACATATGCTGGATAACACGGCAGTTCATTCTGCTGTGGTGACCCCAGATTATTAAAGGGACTAAGCTGAAAAGAAAATGAATGAATAACCAAATGATGTTGTGGGAATGTGAATATACTGTGCACATGATTTCATTCAGAAATTACTACGATTACTCTCCTTTTAACCTTTAGTGATTCAACCTTACATCTTCTACATCCCTCAACATCATTAAGGAAATATAGAGACTATGCCATACACAGCTAGCTTTGTCTAAAAAAGCAGGTGTTATCATTCAAAATTATGCCTTCCATTTAATATTATGTGCGGAAAATATTTTATATTGTGATCAAATGATAAATCGCTAGATGTCCCATCCAGCATTTTTCGGCTAAATGCTCAAATGAAAACAAAAAAAATTTATATTAACTGTTAAGTTAGAAATGTTATAATAAATATTGCCTAATATTTATTTGTCATGTCAATAAGACTGTCAAAATAAATACGAACCCCACATCTTTATATAGTCTTGATGATTTTCACCATTCTGTCAAGTGTTGAGGTGACGCAGTGGCGCAGTTGGTAGTGCTGTCACCTCAAGAAGGTCGCTGGTTTGAGCCTCGGCTGAGTCAGTTGGCGTTACTGTGTGAAGTTTGCATCTTCTCACTGCGTTCGCTTGGGTTTCCTCCGGGTGCTTTGGTTTCCCCCACAGTCCAAAGACATGCGGTACAGGTGAATTGGGTAGGCTTAATTGTCTATAGTGCATAAGTGTGAATGAGAGTGTATGGATGTTTCCCTGAGATGGGTTGCAACTGGAAGGGCATCCGCTGCGTAAAACATATGCTGGATAAGTTGGCGGTTCATTACACTGTGGCAACCCCAGATTAATAAAAGGACTAAGCTGAACAGAAAATGAATGAATGAATTTAAAATGCCAAGAAAAATTGCTGCTTTTTAAGTTTAAGTTTTAAAATGTATTTGAATTTGAAGGCATTGATGTTACCATTATATGAAAATGGTGGATTCTTTTTTTGATGCAATATTTCATTATAAAAGGAATTATCTCTGCATGTGATTGGTTTTTTTTTTTTTAATCCAAGTACTCTCCTGATCTTTAATCAAAATATTACTGTACCTCTAACATGTTACTGACATGAGATGATTTTGCTGCATTTTTGACATTAAAAACCAAAAGAGCAATTCACCTCTGGTTTCCTTTAGGTTGTCCAATGGGGTTTTATAATGTTTTTTTTTTTTATTATTATTATTAGTAGTAAATAGTGAGTATAATAAATTTGACTAGCAATACAATTGTAATGATAATTACTACATGATGTAACTTCAACAGTCACACACACACACACATATATATATTTATATATATATATATATATATATATATATATATATATATATATATATATATATATATATATATATATATATATATATATATATGCATGGGAACATGGATTTTGCAGCTATTCATTAATTCATTAATTTATTTCATTTTCTTTTCGGCTTAGTCTCTTTATTAATCAACGGTTGCCACAGCGGAATGAGCTTATCCAGCATATATTTTACACATGCCTTTCCAGCTGTAACCCAACACTGGGAAACACACATACACTCTTGCATTCATACACACACATTCATTACGGCCAATTTTGCTTATTCAATTCGCTAATAGCACATGTCTTTGGACTGTGGGGGAAACCGGAGCTCCTGGAGGAAAACCACGCCAGCACAGGGAGAACATGCAGCCGAACCAGCGATCTTCTTGACGTGAGGTGGTCATGCTACCCAATGTGCCACCATGACGCTGCAACTATTAATTATACTTAAAAAATTGTAATTAGCAGATAGCAAACAACGGTGTCATAGTGGCGCAGTGGGTAGCATGATTGCCTCACGAAAGAAATTCGCTGGTTCCGAGCTCCACTGCTTTTGGATTCCCCTACAGTCCAAAGGTCTATGAGTGTAAATGCAAGAGTGTGGGTGTTTTCCATTGTTGGGTTGTGGCTGGAAAAGCATCTGCTGCGTAGAACGTTTGCTGGATAAGTTGGTGGCTCATTCCGCTGTGGCTACCCCTGATTAATAAAGGGACTCAATTATGATGTACAAAGTCAACTCTCGAGAATCATTTGACATCCAAATACCACTGTGCAGTGTATCTATCCATGATTTTCAGAACTATTTTTGATAGGTAACCACAAGTATGAATTATTACCCAGTCAAATAGTCCGCAGGGCAGAATTTGAGATTAAATGGTTGTCTGTGTATGTCGGTCCACCCCTTGCAAACACACTATTATCTTAATGACACTCAGTAAATTTGAATCCCTTGATTCATTTTGTCTCTGTGTGGGAGGTCTTGCAAATAATTCAGAAACAGGCCCGAGGACATGGCTTGGTAAATTGCAGTTCCGGCACAGTGTGTTCTCTACGCACTGACATGGATTATTGCATAACACAGTGCCCTTGCCTCTTCCCTCCAGTCGCTGTGATCTAACAGAAGTCCTGCTGCCCTTGTGTTTCACTGTGCGAGTGCAAATATGCAATCATTGGCCTGTTTGGTGCCCCTGTGCATGCATGAGTTAGAACCCGTTTAATCTTCTGACATGTCTTACCTATACTGCATGAACATCTGAAGTATTTAGTATATGCGCATCAATATATTGAACAAATACAGAAGTTGAAGACAGTGATGATGTTATTTAGTTGTCTTTAACCCCAATCAAGATGTTTTAAATGTAAGGGTAAATTTGTTACTGCTTTGATTGGGGAAGATGTTTCTTCCACAATATAAAGATGTTTCAAGAGTTCACACTTAGATACTGTTTGACAGCTTGTTAGCAAGTTAGCAGGTTTGGCATGCTGTCCCGGGAGAGAACCTTGAGCTCGGAGATAGTTGAGCCCAGGGCTCCCACCAGGTCCATAGAGCATGTGAGGGGAGTACGAGATCAGGTGTTCTCGAGAGCTCCCCTCGGCAAAAGAGGAAAGGAGGAGAAGGGGTGGATGGGGGGTTTCTTAGGGAAACGAAGATAAGGGAGTAGTTCTTAACTAGGTTACTTATAGTGAGTTTGGATCAATCTGATTGGCTAGCTAATGAGTGTAGATGAGTGGCCAACTGCAGTCAATCATATCACATGCTACTCTCGAAATTAGTTTGTGAAACTTCATTTTGAAAATCTGGGTTTTCCTGTATAATAAAACTAAAAATCTAGCTATTATTATTAAAGCTAAATAACTCTCAATATACTTTTTTTGCACACTAAAATGATTTTTTTGAAAAAACTAAAAAATGTTCAATGTTTTTATATAATTACATGCATTCCATAACAGTAAGTTATAGCAGGAAAGTCATACTAATGATTTCCAGAAGACTACCAAGAAAGATGAATTGGACTGCACTGACTGCAATATTATGATTCATCGGCATCCTGTTCTGTCAATGAGATCCTGGTAATCATGATATGCACAGGAAAACACTTTTGGTCTGCAGTTAATTTAACAGGAAGAAATCTGTCAACTTGTTTATGAATGAACTGTGCGTTCCTTCCTTTACTGCCCTCAGTCTTAAGAACACATTGTCAGTAAAGAGGCATGAATTACGACAACATTTTTAAATTTTAATAGATTGGCTTTTGTTGTAATTATTATCATCATTGTTTGACATTTGGTGTAGAAATGATGCAAAGAATGATCAGTAAAACCTTTATTTTCCATAAATAATATTTATTTGTATTATTGCATCTTTTAAAACAAACGAAAGCAAAATTCATCTAGGATATTATACATGATCTCTCAACAGCAAAACAATGAAGAGCTTGTGGCTTTTGTACAATGGAAGACACAGCTTGTTTATTTAAACCTCGCAAATATTGAAAATATATTAACCCTTTGATACGTACAAACAATAGATATATTAGATTTTTTACACTTAGACGGGATCTTCAAGAACACTGTTAAATATATATGTATATATATATATGTCTTTAGTTAAACAAAGCAGTAAAATAAGCTTTAAAAGTTGGCAGAAAGAAACATACAAACAACATAAAAATCATTATCTCTCTTTTTTTAAACAAATATATTAACATAACATTTATACATTTGGTTCCACTTTGTAAACTAATTAGATTTTGAATTATTGCATATACAAAGAATTAATGGATGCCATCTAAGAAGCAAGACATTTCCAAGAATCAAGTAGAATCAGGAGGGTACCATTATTTATGTCACTCTAAACAAAATTTATATATAATAATATATAGATGTAGTTTGCTTTGTATTTTTATGAAACTATTGTGTTGAATGCAGAAAACATGTTAAGCAGATCACAGCTTTGTATTTAGTACACAACATTCAGGGAAAAGCAGACAATATCTACAAATCACTCCTGTTGTGATATTTTTTTTTATCTGCCTCACTATTTGGGTCACTCACACTGTATAAGAGGGTTGTGTGCTCTACATTCAGATGTGTCATGTTACAATCAATGCCAAAGTCAAATAGAACGATTTAAGATCGTCATCAACTATTCAACTGTAATCATTGTACGGATATTAACAGCAATTCTGAAGTAGTCTGATTACTAAATGTGTTTATTTTCTATTGGAAACATTATAGAAAGATATTGTTGATTTTAAAGCGATTATTCAATGTCATTTGTGTTATTTGAACGAAATTTTATTTAAATATTTTAGAACAAGATTGTCTTTCTCTTTCAAAAACAGCTTTCTATAGCATGTTCTGTTGTTAAAAGCTCTGTGTATCTGTACAGTCAAGTGAATGTTTTATTTTTTTATTCTTGGCAAGTTAACTGGCAACATGCTGTCGGAATGGGAAGCAGTCACTGTTACCATACATTATATTACAATTCAAATATATTCATGTGAAATGAGGCCGTCGAACAAAAAAAAGCTATGATTTAGGTGACAATTAATCTGTGAAAAAATAGGAGCAAAAGATTGACCATGGTCATAAATAGATCATTTGTGTAAATATTAAATATCATGTGCAGTAACCACACCTGCTGTAAGAAGGTGGCAAAACATTCTCCATATCAAAAAGGGGCTCTCAAGTAGCAACTTATTAAGTGATTAGTTAATAAACTAAATATTTAGAAAAATAGAGTTGTATAATAAATGTTCTCATTGTTTAGGTCCAGATAAGAAGTCATAAATTTGTCAACAAAGAGAGTAAGGCATTGGTCATATGAGAACATTCAAATTAAAATGATTGTTTATCTCTTCTGAAATGCATGCATTAGTACAAATCATTTCCTCAGGGAGGACTTATAGATTTCTTTTCAATCTAATCTTTTTAAATAACTAAAATGACACACGTGGCAATTCGTACAACAGGGCAAATGGTACCTTTCAGATATTTAGGTCAGGTAAATAAGTTTACAGATTGCAAAATAAATCATAACGCAATACATTTTCAAAATTAAACTAAAGGTTTTCACAACATCAATAAAAGTTCATTTCATGACATTTCATGACAAAAGAGCAGCAGCTTAAAAATTGGTGCAGATTGGAAAAACAGGAGTAACACATTGTCCTTGTAGGAGTTTTCACAACACATCCATCTGACGTTCAGCTTTAAGATGAGGTGCAAAGGTCACGGTTCATTTACAGCAGCATAGTCCAGACCAAACCAGTTCAGTCCAGTTAATGGTTGAGCTTCCATTTTCCCTTAGCATTAGGAGTAACCTCTGCTTCCTGCTCAATCTGCAAAAAAGAAAAGAAAGACATCTTCAGATCTGCACTGAAAGAAAATTTAAGCAATACTTCATCCAATTAAAAATGTATCTTTCATTTCAATTTAATGTTATTTTATTTTTCAAGTACTATATTTTAAGTTCAAAACAGTACAATAAAAAAAGTTAACTATAACATATATAAATATAACACTTAAATATAAATGTTTTTGATGAAGAGCTCAACTAAGAAATATTTGTTTTGACCAATGTAAACATTTAAGGTTACTGGCACAGGCCAGTGCATGCATATTAAACAGAAACTCAATATTGTAATGACCTGGCCCACAGCACTATAGCATCATGGGAAATGGTTTATTTTAATTAAAATACAAGGGTTGTTTTTTATAAACTTTGTTTGTTCATGTTTAAGTTGGCTTCTGTGATTTAAGCCCATATTTCATTTATTTATAACATATTGGCCATGACCATCAATGAAGGTAGTGTGTAAAGGAAGCACCCCAGTGGTATGGTGCTGTTAAGAGCTGTTCGTGTTCAGAATAAAGAGGTTGACTGACAATTAAAATGCTGTTAAGCACCTCGCTAATGAGCTGTTAAGCATAAAGTTATGTGACATAAATGCTAGCACCCCGCTAGCTGTTTAGATTAATTAAACAGTTTAGTTTGGTACTTTTATGGAAAAATTTTAAGGCAAATTTTATATTTTTCATTGGCTCAGTGATCAAATTTTGATGTGAAACTATTACTTTATTTTTTTTATAATTGGATGAATGAACATTTTATGGGAATTGTTGTTTTGACTAAAGTCATATATTGTTGTTTAGAACAAAAAGAGAATTTAAAATAATTGACTCTCTTCAACAAGACAAAAATAATGAAAAATTTAAATGTGAATAATTACCTTACATTTTTTTAATTAGATGAATGAAAGCTTATATATATATATATATATATAAGCAGATAACATATAGTAGCAGTGCGATATGGCTGTATATTGGCACTGGTGGGAGGCGTGCGTTGACACAAGGCAGCAGGCGGAGTGTCTTAGAGTCCCACCAGTGACGATATACAACCATATTACACTGCTACAAGTGTGATACTGTGTCTATACAACAGTTTGACGGCATAATCCTGTTTATATAAAAGAAAATCAAACACAAAAAGTCTTAAAATCCTTTTGTATGAGGAACTACTTATTTCTGCTATTCATTCACATCTGCTGCTGATGGTCAAAACAGCAGAAACAATTACTACTTCCCCAATGTCACTTTAAAGTTAGTATTTGAATTATTCTCTAGAGTAATATCTAAAGTGATGATAAAACTGGTGATTTTGCTGACTTTTTAAGATTATAATACCATCCGTCTACAGACAATTGGGATATCACAATTATTAATCCTGAAAAAAACAACAAAGCAGTGCAAACACTAGCAGATTTCTGGCGTGTTTGCGATAAGGAAAAACGCTAAACACATGCGGGCATTTTTTCTTTCTTTTTACTGAATTTTTTACGAAAACAGGAGACACATTAGAAACAGACAGATGACCAATCAAAAAGTAACTCAAAGTAACACAAAAGAGTGGCCAACACAAAGTACACACCTTCCTGATATGCAAGTCCCATCTCACACTCAATACAACAGCTGCAATATTGGTCAAACTGTAGTGAGTTTAATCATCTGCTGTCACTCTATGTGGGCGGAGTAATACACAAGGGTACGAGCGCTCTTATTAAGTGAATATTGCTGTACGGCTATCAGCTAATTGGATTCGAGAATCAGACAAAACTGTGTGTGTGTGTGTGTGTGTGTGTGTGTGTGTGTGTGTGTGTGTGTGTGTGTGTGTGTGTGTGTGTGTGTGTGTGTGTGTGTGTGTCTGGTATATGCACTTTGAATATTTTTTTTTAAATAAATTTACCGAAGTTTCAAGTTCAGTGTTAGCTACAGTATTGGTATTCCAGACAATTATAGGCTTGTACTTTATATTGTGTTGTCAGTGGATGTATTGTGCATTTAATAAGGTTGATTTTTGCTGTTTGGAAAATTACATTTTCCCCGCCATTTCTTTAAAATATGAACAATTATTTTACCCCAGTATATTCAATAGAGCTTCTGCACGAGCCTGCTAATGCTGATGGGCCCATGCATGTAAACGGCTTTTCATGTTATTTTACACTTAAGCAATAAAATGAATGCCAAAGTCTATTTAACTGATTATATTTTAATTACATTACAACATCTGTGTTGTAAAGGAAACCATATAAAAACGAAAAAAAATAACCATTCACCATAAGTACATCAGTATGTGAAGAAACACTAGCTCTACAAATACCCTATTAGATATTGAAATGTGGTGATTAGTAAATCAGCTGCACCAGCACTTTTTACTTAAGCAACCTAGCAATGTTGGTCCACTGCCTAGACCAGCACTAACCAGCATGAACCTGTATGAATTAACAGGAACCCTGTGCTGGGTAATGATTTCTCAGCAGCATACAAATTCTTATTTTCTAGGCATGAGCCCATAATCTTTCAAGCAAAAAGTGGGCTTCCCCACGCCTACGGTTCACTTCATGAATGTGTAATAAAAAAAATTGTTGCATTATATGTTGAGTACCTACAGAAAAAGTAAGTGAGGTGAAATCTGTGTTTCAGTCTCCTTAACAAGTAAATTTTAGACCCCAAACAGCAAATCAACCTTATTAAATGCACAATACATCCACTGACAACACAATATAAAGTACAAGCCTATAATTGTCTGGAATACAAATACTGTAGCTAAAACTAAACTTGAAACTTTGGTTAATTTATTATCAAAAAATATTCAAAGTTCATATACCAGAAATACATTTATCACATGAATACATGTTTGGAGGCGAATGGAGCAGCAAGGTTACAGCTGCCATTAAAGGCCAAAAAGGCTCATGCACTCAAATGAAAGGTGGCTTTCGATTAAGTTAATACGATTTCGAGTTTGTGTGATGATGATACCAACAGCTATGTGTACACAGCCTATAATGCATCATTTAATGCTTTAGGCAGCAGCAGTTAGTGATGATTGGAACTGGGGAATAGACATGCAATTCTGATTTAATGCTGCATGACATAGCTGCTCTGTTAGTTTGCGCATCACTGGATAGAGATGTCACAACACCTCCAACTGCAAAACAAAAGGGCATCTGGGTCCCCTAAGAAACAGTCTAAGCTGTGGATTTAATTAGGTTTATAGAATGTTCCATGGGTTAAAACTTAGCCCTATATTCGTCAGAGACTCAAAAGCTAATGAGGCTCTGCAAAACAGTCCTGGAAATGTTGTGATGTCTACTTGAGGACGTGGCTGTTTTGCACCTGCATGAATGACTGTCTACTCCTTTCATCCGCTGTGACAATGTCTAATCCCTCACTCTCCCCTAAGAGTAATCTCCTCTTGCTAGTGGCTAATTGTGGGTAACATTGACAGTGTTGACATGGCTATCTCAGGCAGGAACATCCCGGCCTAGTTTAGTCAGCTCTGCAGAGGTGGAGAATCTGAGAGAACTGCTTGGGTTAACAGTTTTTTGTTGCTTCAATCTTTCCATGATTACAGTTTTGAGTCCGATTAGGGTTGCAAGGAGATGACATTACGCACACCCTAATAAAAACAAAGAAATGTCTGGTCAAATATGACTCGAATAATGCAACAGATTGGAAAACTCTTCGACAACATTTTCAGAAGGAAAAAAAGAATTACAATTTGACGCCTGTGCTTTACCATCAAACATGTTTTATACTACTTATCGTTTTGTTGTTGTGCTGGTAAGGGAAGTGATAATGTTTAAATAGATCCTTTAGGCAAGCAAGCGTATAAAATAAGTGACTGCCAACATTCACAATTGTGTTTTAGTGTGTTGGTCGGCATGTGTGTGTGTGTGCATATGAACAAATATAGGAGGAAGCGTATGAAGGTAGAAATGATAGAATTTTGATAAAGTAATAAGCCATAACACTGCTATTTGCTGCATTAGTGATTACATTAAAACCAGTAAACGCAATAACAATATTGTTACAATAAGAATTTTGTTAAAATACCAATAAAACAACAATTTTAGGTCCAATATTGTTTAGAATTTACATTAATGATATGTGTAAGATATCAGAGTTATTAAGTTTATTTTATTTGCAAATGATACAAGTATCTCTTGTTCTGGGGATAATTTACCGAAACTTATGGAGTTGATTAAAATAGAAATAAATCAATTGAAATTGTGGTTTGACGTAAAAAAAAAAAAAAAACTGTCATTAGATACAAGTAAAAACAAAGGTTATGTTATTTGGGAAATTAGAAAGTAGTCCTAATATAAATTTAAAAATTGATAATGAAGTGATAGAAAGAGTATATGCAATTAAGTTTCTTGGTGTTGTATAGGATCATGTAGTTAGAAATCGCAAATAAATAATGTGATATCAAAATTAGTCAAAACTGTAGCAATAGTGTATAAGTCAAGATTTATCCTGGACAATAAGTCAATGTATGTATTATATAACACACTTATGTTGCCATATATGAAAAAATATGTTGAAATTTGGGGGAATACATACAAATCTTAATTATGATCCTTATGTACAATGCAGAAAATAGTAATTAGACTGATAGAAAATGTGGGGTATTTGGAGCATACAAATCCTTTATTTTCTAAAGTTCAATGATTTGGTTAAATTTAAAACAGCACAATTTATGTTTAAAGCTAGAAATAAATTACTTCCGAAATGCATACAAAAGTTTTTTGAAAAAAGACAAGGGGGATATAATCTGAGAAAAGAACACAATTTTAGGAGGTTGAAAATAAGGACAACTTTAAAAAGTTGTGTATGTCTGTATGTGATGTGAAATTATGAAACAATCTGGATAAGATTCTCAAACAATGTCAGGATATTAATCAATTTAAAAAGTTGCCTAAATATCTAAAATTAAAGCAATATAATGATAGAGGTGATTGAAAAAGAATAAAATGAGAAAGGTATGATGAAATTTCAATTAATGGCTATTTGCAGTATTGGGTCTATGTTATAAAATGTAAATGTACAAATGGAATCAAACATATATGTCAAAGATGCCAAAAGGATAAAATATGTCTCATGTAAAGCTCATATGTCTCATGTACAAAGAAGATATAAGTAAAAGAAGAAATAAGTTGAAGTAATAGACTAATACATTGTGTGATAATGGGGGTGGAGAAATAATAAGCTTGTGCTTCATCCCGCTCCATTTTCGATCATGTTGAAATGTAGTTTTTGTTAAAGAATTTTTATGTATGATTTTTCTGTTCTAAAATAAATCAATCAAATCAAAACAATATAACAAGCAATTAGAATAACGGTTTTGATAAAGGAATGGTTCAGCAAAAAATTTAATTCTCACTTTTTTACTCCCCCTCAATTGGTTTCAAACATTAAGGTGTTTCTTTTTTCTTTTCTAACACAAAATCATTTATTTTGAAAATCCTGCAACATTGACTTCCATAGAAGGAAAAACAAATACTATGGAAATGAATACAAGGTTTTCAGCATTTCTCAGCATATCTTCTTTTAGGTTCAACAAAAGGAACAAGCTTAAGCAGATTTGTGACTAGTGAAGGAGGAGTAAATGATGACTTTTGGCTGAACTAAAAGTTTGGGAACAATAACATTTGTTTCATAGGCATTTTTATTGCAAAGCGACTTACAAAAAAAGCATTTTCGAAGGTGTAAGGGTTTAAGGGTTTTTGTATTTCATACCACTTTTCTATGGCAAATGGCATTATGTTATTAAACCATGTTATTAATTTATATCTTATAATAAATAATACATTATTAACCCACAATGTTTCTGTACAGCTATGGTAGATGTAATTAACATAAAATAACAATAAACATAATGCTAAAGATAAAAATGTTTGTGTGTGTGAGAGAGAGACAGAGAGAGAGAAAGAAAGAGAGAGAGACTTGTTTTTGATAGAGTAGTAGAATAGTAACTAAATTCTCAGAAAAAGCACATTTGCTGTCCTTGTGCTAAAGTTACACAAAAACGTGTTTACAAGGGTTCGATCTATTCTGCTGGTGATGCATATTCACAGTCAGTCCGCACTCAGCAATACGAGTTGCACCCTCTGATCTATATAGAATTCTCTTTTATATATCAGCGGTTGAACAATTTTTCATCTTAAAAGTAGTGATGCAACAAAATTTCAGCATTATAAATATTCAGTCGAAATAGTGTTTAAAGTCCCCAAGAAATCAAAACTAACCATATGATTTGGTTAGCTTACATTGCTAGTTTTGTGATGAACAAATCATCTGTGCATGTCATTGAGAAACAAATAGTTTTCTCTTCTAATCTATAATAGAAATCTAAAAAATGCACTTCCTGTTTGTTTTCAGTTAAATAATCAGATGACGTGACTTTGAGGTAATATACTTAAAATGCTAGTTCAACTGTCAATTTTGACAACAAACAGAAATGGTGAGCTGGAGGTGTCTGTTAGGTTGTAATAACTATTCTAAAACCCATTTCCTGATCTTTCTGAATGAAATGCCTACTTTACTACATCCATTCAAAAAAAAATAGCTACACCCACTGTTTGCTCATTTAAAATTCAGTCTCTCTAGGAACTGTGTCACAATACATAAAAAAAATACCGATCACAGCTTCCGAGTCATTGGGACTTTAAAGGCTTTAGTGATTTTTACGACAAAAATTTATAGTAAAATGTTAAATATGTTTGATTAAAATATGGAGAGGCAACCTGTTACTGAAGAACTTCATAACAATTGGTTTATTGCCAATGAACAAGACACCATTAATAGCAACAATTTTAATTACTCATTAAATAAAGAAATCTTTATCTCTCTGTCCCCCATCCCCCACCAAGCTCTGGCTAAAGGGACAAGGGACAAGCACTGTCCTGGGGCAGAAGCAGATGGCCTGCTGTCATTAGTGTATTGTCTGTGCTGCTGCCATGCTTGATAACAGACCTGCGGTGAGCAGAGCGGCAGGTGCACGCGAGCACACACACACACAGCCCCACATCTATTCAGCCATCTGCCACACATGCAAATGGACACAATCGTCTTAAGGAGTACTGCTCTAGAGAAGAAGATAGAGTGAGAAAGAAAAAAATATATATAGATCGATCAAATTTTTAACATTTTAAATAAAATGTAATATTTATGTACTCAAAGCAGCAACTGCACTGAAAAAAATGATTCACAGATGATTTCTTGGATTTACTAAACCTTTTTAAGTTAAGTGTTTGTAAACAATTTATTTGGGCTGAATTTAAACAAACAAATTAAGTTGAACATTACTAAATGTAATTTGTTTGTTTAAATTCAACACATACAAATAGTTTGCAACAATTTTGCAGACATTATTTTTTCAGAGTGGTTTCTTTCTAATTTTATCATTCTACATTAAATAAATCAGCGCTAACATGATAATATACTTATTATGCCTGCATAAAAGAGAGAGGGTGAGGGGGGGGTCCTCTCCTTAGTCATGTGTTTGATGGATAAAAATCCAATTGAAAGCCTACATGCAGAGTTTTGTAAGAGCATCCTCAGGGTACAGAGGAACACACTCAGCAATGCATGCAGGGCAGAATTAGGCCAGTATCCATTACTCATTTATTGAGAAACGAGCTTTCAAATTTTGGAAACACATAAAAATGAGTGACCCCAACTCTCATCATTTTAAAGCCCTCAAAAACCAAGAAATGGACATTGAAAAAAGTTCCCTGATTCAGATGGTCCTGAAGCTACAAAGACAAACTAACATAGCCAATATGATTAACAGCAGGCAGCATCAGGACACGGACATGCTCATCCACAGAATTAGGCACAATCAATCAAACAATAAATGCACAAAAAGAAGAGTATCTGATTTACTGGAATGAAGCAGTCGGAAAACAAAGTAAACTTCAATGTTATTTAGACCTAAATAGAGATTATACCTTAGCAACATTTCTGATTGCAGTAAAGGATAGTAAATTAAGAACAACAATGACCAAATACAGGCTGAGAGCTGACAGTCTGACTGTAGAGACAAGCCAATACAAACAGAACTGGCAACCCAGAGAGAGCCGCATCTGCCCACACTGTGCCCAGGCAGAGGTGGAGACACAGGAACACTTCATCACCCGCTGCACAAACCATCAGCACATCAATGAAACATTCTACCCCAAACTACAGAGCATTTATCCACAGTAAACTGAGTTAGACAATAAAACAAAAGTGCAGTATTTACCAAGGGAAAAAAAACTGACTGTGGCGCAATACATTAATGCCTGACTGTTGGCGCAATACATTAATGCCTGTCACAAAAAGAGAGAGGAGACCATTAAAAACATCAGTTATGCGCTTGCAAGCAAACACACACACACACACACACACACACACACACACACCCCTAGATGATTATAATTTAATCATTGTAAATATACTGATTATTATTGTTTTTATATTACTGTTTAATCCTAAAATGTTAATTGGTAAATGTACAGTTTATTCTGTAATATTATTATTTTTATTGTTATAAATGAATAATATATGAATGATATGATATATTGAATAATAATATGACATAATATTATATATAATAATGTTATATATTATTTATATATTTTTATTATTTAATATATATTTATTATTTTATTATTTTAATAATAAATTATTTTAATTTATAATTATTATATGTATATATATTTTTTCTGCTACTACTACTGCTGCTGCTTATTGTGTTTATATTATACATGTATGTTCTCTTATTTTTATGTAAACTTTATAACTGCTTTAACAATACATTTGTAACATTTGTCATGCCAATAAAACAAATATTGAATTGAATTGAGAGAGAGAGAGAGAGAGAGAAAGACCATGTTTAAATTAATTTCTTCTTTTAGTTATATCAACTTTCTAGTCTTTTTTCAGACATAAATTAACCCTGTTTATAAACTTTTTTTACAGTTCTCTCATGAAATACTCTCCAAAAGGGTTGCAACTAATGATCGTTTTAATAATCGATTAGTTGGCTGATTCCTCCCACCCCTGAAAACTAAATGTTTTTTAACTAAATTAACTTTGTTACTATTTTAACGTTTAGCTTATTATGGTTATATAAATCTGGCTATTATTTATGTATAAAAGTCAAATAAATAAATAAATGCAAAAGTAAAACAAGCTGTACTCCTTGTTATGCTGTACTCCTATTGGTTTCACATTATGAAATTAGGACATGCTGACAATATGACTTTCAGCAGAATTTGTTTAAAAAGCAATATTATTATTAATAAACTAATATATATATATATATATATATATATATATATATATATATATATATATATATATATATATATATATATATATATATATATATATATATATATATATATATTAATTGTAATATATTGCTGCTGTTGTTTGTGATTTTAAACATGTGATGTCTCAGTCTATTAGCACTGTTTAAATTAAGCTAATCTTACGTAGCACCATTTAATGGTTCATCACTATAGCTTGTGAGCAAACAGGTAAACAAAAGCACTTAATTTATACTATTTTAAAGAAGACTGTGGTAGGCTATTTCCATTACACATGGCTTGCATAGCGGGTAGGTTATCGTCTTCTTAAAGGCATTTAATGTTAAATTATTCCCTGCATTGAGGTGCATGCTTTTTCCCCTGCAGCTGGTTTGGTACCCTCGATTGCAGCAGTGTATCTTATGTCGCACTCCTCAGTCACGTGAGCAGCCCAACTAATCGATAATGGCATTTGTTGACAACAAATTTTAACACCAGTAATTATTCATTTAATTAACTTGTTGTTGCAGCCCTACTCTCCAGCATTTGCTATTCATTGTCACTTATATGTGGTCATTTACACCTGGTTGTAAACTAGACAAAAAAAAAATAAGCCCTTTAGGCAACACCACAATCTAGGGCAGGAGTTCCCAAACTTTTCAGCCCGCGACCCCCAAAATAGCAATGCCAGTGACTCGCGACCCCCAATATCCTCTGAGGTGGTTATAAATACAGAAACCTTGCATGCAATGACGCAGACACACCAATTAAATTTGTGTCAGTGCTTTAAATGTGCCAGAAAGTATAACCTGATGATATAAAATCAAAATGCATCTGACGCTATTGCTGCCTTTAATATAATGTAATTACCCCAGGGGTCGCAATCCAATAGAACTAGTAACTATAAGCTACTATAGTAACTATATAGTATATAGTAACTATAAACGACTATTTTTATTTTCAGTATAGTTATGGATAAAATATGTTAATTCTTATGGTTTAATAAAAATAAATAGATTTTTGGAAATCACCAGGCGACCCCCCTTCATTGCCCCGCGACCCCTAGGGGGGTCCCGACCCCCACTTTGAGAACCACTGATCTAGGGCATCATCTCTTCAGGGGTATCAATTTAGCCCTGGTAAATTTGTCCTGTTCTCAATTTTCACTGATCCAACCAGAAAAATATCAAAACATTATCAGTAAACAAATTTGATATCATGACTGAATTACAGCACTGCCACAGTAGTTTTTGTTCCTAATTTTTTTTCATAAATTCATAAAACATAATATGTAATTAATGTGTTAAGTTGTCATCTGGCCAGTTTTCTACATATATAAACATTCATAAATACATTAAAAATAAAGGACAAACAGAAATCAAATAATAATTATTTTACAATCATTTAATTCTTTTGTTTTGTTTGTTTGTTTGCATTAAACTAATCAACAGTACAAAGCACGGTATGCTATTACTATTTATGTGAAACAAAAGGCTGACATTAGGTAGAAAGCGTGAACCATATTAAAACTGTAGGTGAAATCAAAACTAATGAGTGTCCTCTCCCAGCAACCTTTACCTGTCCAGCATTCTAACCCTCAAACCTCATCACTACCTGACAAAATGTCCCACAAACAAACTACTGGCTTGTTTGTCCTCCTGATAGATGCATATGGCTCAAGAAGGCTCAACCTCTCATTAGACCGGTGGACGTGGCTAAACACATGTCCCATTTCAAAAACAAAATGCAAACGAGCCCTCACTTCTACCTGCCCACTCATTTTCTCAAAGGCTTAGTTCCCAGTTAAAGAAAGGGTTAACACGCTGTGCCGTTCATTATCCCTCATCTTTTTGATCTTCCACAGCAGGCAGCCTGCAATGAAAACTACCAACCATGAACGGTCTTTTAACCAGTGGGGATAATTTCAGGCCACAACACTGCTTCCCACTGAGGCATAATGCAAATGCGGGAGAACCAGATTATGTGAAGTACGTGCCTCTTAACATGGCATGTTGTTTTTCTGGGTGATATGCAAAAACTGCGTGCACAGGAAAAAGCCCCAGGCGCTGCACTATATTAGGCGCAGCATACCGTTCCTGCTCGTGACAGCAGTTTGATCTCACGCTCACATAAAATTCAAGTAGCCAAATTAACGCATGCACTCTTGCAAGACAATGTTCACTCTTGCCAACACGTGACACATATTTTAATAATTTAACTGCAAATTACCATGCCCATTAATGGGAATTACCAGTCGATGCGTACTAATACAGGAAATCAGAATATTATGAGAAATCTGCCTTACATCGAAGATTTATTTCTTGGAATGTGCAGAAAACACTGCTTCACATTTAAGCCAAATAAACCTCAAAACAACATTCCCTCGCCACAGTTCACAATATTCCATGCCCGAAACCGTTCAACTTATTATATCCGCTTTTTACAAGCATTAAAAGGTTTAATTATTAACACGCCTCAATCAGCAAAAAGCAAGCTGCGATTCATGTATGTTGGAAATAAACAAGCGCGCGCGCCGTGATTTCCTGCAGCGTCATAGTGTATGCGCAGTTGGGTTGTTTACCGCGCGCGGCCAGACAGTCACGTTTCTCATGCTTCAAATTTCTCTGGAATTCCTCTGAATAAAAAAACATATCTTATCTCTTTGCTTACACAAGCGGACAGAGGTCACTTCTCACTAGTGTTTACATTTATATACTATGTCGTTGTTTTCTGATGTTTTGTTTAACGTAAATTTTTGTTTAATAACTGCGATAAAGTTGTGTTAAAATATCCTATATTATGTACATTTAAACTCAAACCTTAAATTCAAACAATCATTCGTTCCATGTAACCAAATAACATTATAATTCAATATATTTTAATGCATATAAATAACTACTAACTGTGTGTGTGTGTGTGTGTGTGTGTGTGTGTGTATATATATATATATATATATATATATATATATATATATATATATATATATATATATATATATATTTGGATATTTACACATTCTCCTTAATAATATAATTTCAGAAAAGTATCCTTTGCAAATTTTAAATAGTGAAATCATATTATCGGCCAATGACTATTAAAGAAGTACAAAATTGTTCACAGTGAATTAGATAGTGTTAATGTTGTTTATAAGTCAAACTTGCATGCTAATGAATCTATAGAAGTACTAAACTGAGATTTAAGCAACAACAAAGTGACCTTAAACCACAATGCTTAAAGCAAATAAATAAAAATGCATTTAATTATTTAATATTAGCTTAACCTACATGCTAAATCATCTTTTCAACTTTCACCAGTTTAGTCATCTTTTTGATTTATATCAGAACATCATATCATCTGAACTTACCTTGTACAGTGGTTGCAGTTTCTTTGAATCCAAGACACACATAGGGAGTTGTGTGTAATCCATTTATTCCTGCTTTACAACAACCGCCAGTCTTAAAGCCCACAAGATTTTCACAATTGCCAGTCTCTTGTTTCTCCATGAGATTTAAGGCGATGTAATTGAGCCCATTTTGATAACCAGCTGACATTTCTTGGCACATAGGAGACTCATACTCCTCATCAGAACCTTCACTGCTTCGTACTGAGATGTTTTCTACGGAGGCAGAGCTGTGTCGCTTAACATTGTGTGCAAAAGAGGGAAAGACCGGTGCAACTGTGGTGGTGGATGAAAAGGTCTCAGAGCTATGCCGTCTCCGGCCCTGGGGGTCTGCTCGAATCACCTTTGCTCCTCCGTTTGGATCTACAGAGGAGGCAGCTAACAAGAAAGCGCCAATTCCTTTTGAAACCCCCTGGTTGCCCAAGTTAAGCCTTTGAACCCTGCTAGTGGGGCTGACTGAAGCACTCTTTTGATTTTCAAGGGAACCACTGTTGAAGCTCATCTCAGTGTAATTACCTTTTCCTGATACAGAGGGGCATGGTAAGTTTCTCTGTTCGTTGAGAAAACAAGTCCCATCATCAGGCGGGCATTCAGCCAGCTCTGGCAGTCCATCGAGGGGACTACTCATTTCACACAGTTTAGAAGAGTGTGAACTCTGGTTGAGGTTCATGTAGTCTGAGAGCGGAGATCCCTGTCTGAGGCTGGACAGTGAGGCCTGATTTTCCACAGTGACCATAGATTGAGAGGAGTACTGAGTAGCAGCAGCAAAGTCTATGTTTATGTACTCTCCAGGGCTTTTAGGCTCACATGGTAGCGGATGTTCAGTCATCCTTGGAAGCATCCTTAGAGCGTCTAGAGATAACCTATTGGGCCTGTTGACCTTTGATCTCTGTGCCATTACATCAGGGCGATAGAGAGGGGGCAGAGAAGAAACGCTGTTGGCCTCTTCGGTTTGATTTTGGTTCTGAGGACTCATGAAAACATACTGGTTATCATCTACTCTTTTAGGCACCTGTTGCTTATTGAAGCGAATACTTTGAGTTGGGGAGGGCCGTTGTGTTGGCTCACAAGGACCCATAAAATATTCTGGTGGTGTGGGTGAGATGGATGTGTCAACAGGTGACATATTCACATATTCTCCATTCGCTGCTTTTCCATCTGAGCTCTCCAGTGAAAACTTGGATCCGGACCACATTTTCATGTACCCGCTGTCCTCTAGAGATCCACTGCTGGGGGAGTTAGCTGTGCAGCCACTGCCTGGAGACTGTGGATGAGATCTCGGGTTAATGATCTGCTTGGGTGCTGAAACACTCATGGGACTCATTGGCATGTAGTGGTCATTTTTTGCACTCTGAGGTGCCATGCCTGGTGTCATTGGCATGTAGCCATCATCACCCACATTACAGTTAGAGCCTATCTCAATGTCCCCATAATCTTCTGGATATGAAAGTTTAGGAGAAGCAGAATTTGTGCTCCGTCCAGAGTGGCTGTTCGCAGCCCTCATCAACATGTATTCATCAAGTGACGCTGAAGATAACTGGGAGTGTGCCATCTGTTGCCGTGGGGTTGTTAGAGAATATGTCCTCTTCCTGTATGTCTCCACATCCAACATGTCTCTGCTAGTCTTGTTCTGTGAAAAGTTGGATGGCCTGTCCATCACCATATAACTATGGAGTTCACTGGTTTCTCGTAAGGGTGGTGTGCTGGACAGAGAAGAAGGAGTGTCACTCCTGTTTGCTAGGTTGTACCTCACATCCCCTGGGCTGGAACTGTAATCCTCACACGTTAAAAAGCCAAAATCATTTGGTGACCCAGAAACAGAACCACTACAGCTGGAAGGTCTGTGTGCTTTGTTTGAGATAGAACCATTCATACTGATTGAAGACAAACTTAGTGGACTTACAACAGATGGGGGAGAGTGGTACATGGTCATAGACATGGACCTGCTGTGATTAAGTAGTGATGGTTCTGATGTCCGACAGCCTACTGAAACAGTATTAGATCTACTCATGTGGTGCCGGCCAACAGTCATTGGGCTTCCATTCTCAGATACTGATACAGAGACTGGCCTGATCATGGTACCTTCCCCTTCACTTGCAGTCCGTATTCGACAAGAAGAAAATTTGGTCACGGGAGATGTGGCTGCTGTACTGTCCGTCCTTGACCTCCTCACTAGCCCTGTTTGACTTGGAGGTAAATTGTTTAGGTTCCGACGAGTGGGTACAGAAATGGGGTTTGATCCTGATGACTGACTTTTGCTGCGGGGTCTGAACTCTGACAGCTCTTTCATTGCTTTCATAGCTTCTAAAATTGTCTCATGTATATTTTGTGCCACCACAGAATCGTCTGCTTGCATCCACAGTTCTCCAGGTCCAGTAGAGGCTGATCTTCCAACTTCAATAAAGAAAAAGCTATCAGAGTGCCCACACCTACGAATATTCATCAACTGTAGGGTAACTGATGCCACCTCGGAGTTAAGTTTCACAAAACTAATAGTCCGACTTGTTAAACACAGCCTAAAAACTCCAGTGATATTTCTGCTCTGCCCAAGTCCCTTTGCTTTAAGGTTCACTTGCCATACCTCTTTATAAGCAGCATTCACCGGTGTAATCATTCCGTAATTTCCCTCGTCGAAGCCTACCAGAGAGGATGCCGAATTAGAAACGGTGCTGTCACACACTTTTCCTTTGCTTAATAAATCAGCCAAGTCTCCGTACCAGCTCTCCTGCTCTTGCTCATTCTCCGCAGCCACAGCAAAATATTCGTCCTTGGTATAGAGGGCTATCAAATATCTGTGTTTCGCGTCAGCGCGCTTGTTTATGCTCAAACACGAGTCGAGGAATATCACTCTTTTTGGAGCAGACTTGTTTTTCCATTTCTTTTCATTCTCGTGGTATTCCAAGCGCGCTGGGAGTCCGTCGCTCGTGTCTTTCAAAACAAAATAGCGCCGATGTCCGTGTTTTTGCTTCTTGAGATATCCATGTTTTCGTATGTTGTTTGAATGAATGTTGTTGCTGTTTGATAGCGAGGGTCCCCCTTTAAGAGGCGGACTTGCCATACTTGCGTTGACAGTTTATTTACTCAGTTTCCAAAACTTATCCATTCGTTAAAAAAAAAAAAACAAGAAAAACTTAACCGATTTCTGGAGATTTCAGCGCGTAATGTCTGTAGTTCTCCACTAGCAACTCCTCGTTCGGAGTGGCCGAGTGAGCTAAAGCAAAAAACAACATGTGACGTAGACGCAGCCCATCATGGATCAGTGAAAAAACAGTCATATAAGGCGGTGCGATCTTTAAGAGGCGTTCCCGAAGAGCCAACGAATGAGTTGGTTATTGATTTCATTGGCTAGGCGAAGAGATTGACGGCGCTTTGACAAATCCGTGGCGTAATATGAGACAAATCCCCCCGAACACAAATTGTTCTCTCCTCCTCCTAAAAACAAACAGCGCTGTGTGGATGACACATCTTTCCAACTGTACATACGCACTGGGTGCTGCAGTTGCGTCTGGTTTGCTGTTTCATATGTTTGCTGTTTCGCATGTTAACATGCGCACACTGACATGTTTTATTTGCAACCTGATCAAATCTATTAAAGAAAAAATATAATATAAATAAAGATGTCAGAAACGGCATGTTAAGCTATGCGTAGCTAATTCAGAATTGTTTACAAATATGAAATGTCCATTTTAAACTAAATTTCGGAAATATTTAGCCAACGCATTATGTGATGTGTTTTATCATGGAGTCATGAGTCCGTTCTAACTTGTAAACAAGAGCGGAGTCGTAATGCGCGTGCTGCGTGTTACATAACGCATGATGGTCTATTTTTATGCACTTGGGTGTCCCTGTCCAGCAACAGCACTGCCAACCAGCATTTGTTCATGGCAACATCGAGAAAAACGCATCTGGACTTCAATATTTCATCAAGTTGTGGATTTTAATAGAGAATGTTGTTATGCATCTCTCGTCCGTGGTGTCCTTGCCTTTGCATTTTCTTCGCGAAAATACCGTATGACACAATCGACTTTTAAACTGTGTTTTTAATGAATTATATTTATTTTAAACTCACATTTTTTTTTTACTTAAGGTAGTCTCGGAACTTTCTGGAATGTTAGAAATCGATCTGTTTGTTCCAGGGAAAACAAGATATACTGCTAGCATGTAGAAGTGAACATTCGCCACCATACGGTCAAGCGTATCATAACAACACAATGTTGAATATGTCATTTAAAATAGTCGCATTACGGTTTAGTGTCTATAGCTCTATTTCAACTTGCGTTTAGTAATGTAGGCGCAGCACGGCGACTGTGAGAGCAACAGCAAATAGTTAGGCTACATTTACCACAAACCCGTTTTTGTGGTCTTAAATGATAAATAACTGAGCATAAAAACAAGTACATTTATACTCTTATAATTAAATTATTAGCTGTTAAAGTTCTAAATACATTTCATGAATCTAACTGCATTCATTTTAATTATAAATAATAATGTCATAAATCAAATATGGTTTTCTTTTTGCTCCCAAAAAGGTTATTAAATTCTTGTTTTTTTAATCCATTGAGAACACCTGAGATATTTTAATTAATCTGTTGCATAACACCATACTAAATGTTTCTTTCTTCACAAGAAAGTATATTTTCCTCTGCCAGTGACCCAAATCAAGTCACAGTGCACTTCAGTCTGCTGATTCTTTATTAATAGTTTAAGTGTAATCCAACAAAAGATTCAATATTTTAGATGCAACTATATAAAGGACATTTGCCAAATAAGACATCAGATTTATAATATGTATTTGGATAATATGTAGACCTAGCCATTCATACCAGTGCAGCAAAACCCAGAATGAGTTCACTGGCTGATTGATGCAGCTCTGTAATTGGTTTTATAATCTGGACTAAAGAAGATTATAGTAAGCAAACAGCATGGCTGATCTAAAAAAGATGAAGGGTTTTTTAAGAGCAGCTGTCTATTGTTAACTAGCTCTGTCACATGAAACATGATAAATCCTATGGATTATTAAGCATTGTGCTCAGATTCTGTTGTGGCTGATGTTGGGTGATCTAATATGATCTCTCTTTTTGCAGCATATGTTGAAAATCTCACTACAACACTAATCTAGTATAATGATAAAGTAATGTAAATAAAACCCATTGAACAAAGCTTATCCACAACAAATCTACTTAGACAACAAGACACATCCAACTTGTGAAAGCATAAGCTAATGTGGGGCCAAGATTAAGGAAATATTATGAAAATAATTATTCAAATGAATAAATTAGTTTATATTAAAGAGTAAAATTACTTTAATAAAATGATAACATTAAATTTACTGTTCACGTTCCATTAAACTGCAGTTTTGAAATCTAAATCTAATAATTATTTTAGTTTTTTTTTTTTTATATTGGAACAAACAATGAAAATACAATGATTTGCCTTATCTCCCTGAAATGTCTAACGAACCTAACTAACCTAGGAAAGCCTTTCAATGTAACTTTAAACTGAATACTAGTATCTTAAAAATGTGTAATAAAATATTATGTTCTGTCATCATGAAAAATATAAAAGAAATCAGTTATTAGAAATTAGTTATAACTATTATGTTTAGCAATGTATTGAAAATAAATTAGCCTTTAAACAGAAAAAGGGGGAAAACCTACAGGGGGTAATAAAAAAAAAAAAAAAAAATATATATATATATATATATGCAATGTTATTGCATTGTTTGTGATATTATCAATATTTGCTGAAGTTTATTGCTTATAGCATGGATGTTTGACTGACTGATAAGATCTCATCAGCATCACCTACTCTTATTGTAGTGTGTAAGTTATCTAAAAGTTTTGATTGCAAATTCAATAAAGTCTTTTAAAATCTTTTTTCAGCCTTGGATTCAATTGCATATAACACTTTTTTCAAAACACTACACACAATTCTCTACCTAAAATACAAAAATTAGCAAGCTTTAACTGTGGAACATTGTATTGGAATGAAGAGAAGTCTATAAAAAGCACAACTTTTAGATTTAGAACAACAGTGTTTACAAGATATATCTCAACATTTACTGTTATGTGTGAAGTGTTTGCCATTTGCGACGTAGTGGTGCATTAGGTAGTGCTGTCACCTCACAGCAAGAAGGTCATTGGTTCTAGCCTCGGCTGGGTCAGTTGGTGTTTTTCTGTGGAGTTTGCATGTTCTCCCTGTGTTCGCATGGGTTTCCTCCAGGTGCTCCGGTTTCCCCCACAGTCCGAAGACATGTGATACAGAGGACTTGGGTAGGCTAAATTGTCCGTAGTGTATCAGTGTGAATGAGAGTGTATAGATGTTTCCCAGAGATGGGTTGCAGCTGGAAGGGCATCCGCTGCGTAAAAAACATGTGCTGGATAAATTGGCGGTTCAGTCCCCTGTGGTGACCCCAGATTAATAAAGGGACAACCCGAAAAGAAAATGAATGAATGAATGTTTGCCATTTGATGCAAATTCTTCATTCTGATGTTTTAATGGCATTTTTAATATAGTGTTACATTTTGAAGGAGCTGTGAGGCATTTGTGTGTAGAATTGTGTATAGGCAGTTGGGAAAAAATTCATAACAAATAATAACATAAAAATGTAAGAAAATAGATTTAAATTATATTTTTTAATGAATATAATATGCAAAAATATATACACACTAAAATATTTTTATGGCAATATCCATAAATCCTGTCAATCCCATGCTCCTTTATGATGATGGGCAAAGGTGATTCTTTCATCTCAAATTTGTTTACAGTCCACTAATTAGACTGATTATCCAAGAGTAGATTATGGCCTAGAACAAGATTAGTATGTAAGATGCGCCTCTAATCCAAGTCATGTTGTATTTATCCACATTAAGATAATAATCTAGTCTAAAGACCAAACTTGGTGCACCTTGACAGATATGTAGTATATAGAATGTTAGATGTGCTTCTAATCTAAGACTCACTAAGATACACTCACTGGCCACTATATTATTTACACCTGTCCATCTGCTTGTCCAACTGCTGCTAATTTCTAATCAGACAATCACATTGCAGCGACTAAATGCATTAAGGCATCTAGACATAGTTAAGATGATCTGCTGCAGTTCAAACCAAGCATAAGAATGGGGAAAAAGACGATTTAAGTCACTTTAAACACATAAATGCATAACCATCTCTAGGGTTTACAGACAATGGTCCGAAAAAGAGGAAATATCCAGTGAGTGGGAATTCTGTGGGCACAAATACCTTGTTAATGCCAGAGGTCAGAGGAGAATGGCCAGACTGATTCGAGTTGATAGAAAGGCAATAACCACTTGCTACAACCAAAGTATGAAGAAGAGCATCTCTGAACACACAACATGTGCAACCTTTAGGCAGATGGGCTACATTAGCCATATCATAAAGCACGAATCATCTCAGACAGGATTTTTGAACATGACAATGAGTTCACTGTACTCAAATGGCCTCCACAGTCACCAGACTCAATCCAATAGAGCACCTTTGGGATGTGGTGAAACGGGAGATTCGCAATAATTTACAGCTATGGTTGGGTTTAGGGGAAGGGAATAGGTATGGGTTACATTTTCCAACAACAATGATGTTCCAGGATCAAAATAGATGTTAATCCAGGATCGCATCATACTTGGCAAAATCATGATATGCCATTCAGTGTACTCTCAGTCCTGGGTTGCTACTGGAAGGGCACCCACCACATAAAACAAATGCCAGAGTAAGCATATCCTGTCCAAACTTTATAGGCTGGAATGTGTGAATGTGTTTGCACATTTGTGTTGTTTTTAACATAGAGTTTATTTTAATTAATTTTTGTTAAAGAACTGAAAGGATAAATCTTCTGTTTACTAATGAGGTTGGTTTTCTGTGATTATGTACACCGAGCTTGTAAATATCTGCCTGAAATTGCCCCTGTTGCAAAAGAAGAAAAAATGCCCGCTTCCTAATGTAATGAGAGACACACTGCATTCTTACACCAGATGAATATAGTGGATACAGTGACTGAATAATGTTTTTACATTACAAGAAAAAAACTTTATCTTCATTCAGTGTATAAGATAAAAATGATAAATGAGGTTTCAGTTTCTTCTTTAAATCTCTTTGAACAGAAGCTTTAAGAAGTGCTGACAGGAGTGACAAGAGCACTGCTGAGCTTCATGCAAAGGGCAACTTAAAGAGGATAGGTCATCAAATCCCCAGAGCAAAGAAGCTTCAGTAGACTGTTTGTAAACAGGTGTCACATTGAGACAGCAGGAGGTCATTGATTAACTAGGTCCCACAGGACTAGCCGTCTTTTAGTATGTTAGTTGTCAGCCTAACAGTCAAAACATAGTTGCAAATTAACCCTTAATTTGAACTTGGGGTATATATGACCCCAATCAACATTTGTTTATTTTAAAAAATGGTTCCCTACATCTTATTGAAACAACATTTTTTGACTGGTTATCATTATCTACTATACACTCTCAGTAAAAAGGTACACGGTGGTACAAATAATTTTCCTTGAGGAAGGTTTGTACCTTTGTAAAAATTGTACCTTATATGGTACAGAAAAGACCTCTTATGATACTGTTCTATGCTTTTTATACTACAACTGAAAAGTGAATTTATGAATAATTTTCATATTAAAACAAGAATTATCATTTAAAAGTAAGAATCATCATTTAAAAGTATATGTTTAAAGAAATATAGACATTAATTATTAAGTTCTTTAATACAATAATACAAAACCACTGGTAAAACATGAAACTTGGGTATTGTAAACTAAACATTTAAGACATTTTATATAAATGTTTGGTAAGTATTTTTGACACTTACGATACAAAGTGTCTTGTCACTGTGGTGGTACCTTTATGGATCAGATTTGTACCTCTGATGATGATACAATATTGTATCTGCAGGTTTAAAAAACCAAAGATACATTTTGGCTTCCCATGGTAAAGATCATGTCCTTAAAGTTACAAACTGCAATGGTACAAATTTGTTTCTTTGTCTTAAGGTACAATTTGTCCCATAAAAAGGTACTGCCCCAGTGACAAGGGTTTGTATTTTCTTTGGTACAACATTGTACCATTTTTCCTGAGAGTGTATATTCACAGAAAAAAAAAATCTGGACTTCATTTGCTTATTGAAGATATGTAAAAATATGTTTCTGGTATTTGGAAATGAATGGAAAATGGGGAAAAAAGTTATTTATTTATTTTTTTTTTATTTCAATCAATAAATCTGCCATAAACATGAACATTTCCAAACAGAAACAAAGACCTGGTACTAGAGCACAAATAAAATATAAATTAAAGCCGCAAGTGGCATTATGGAGGTTTAAGCATTTAAAGACTTTTGACACGAATGCTGATTAAGTCTTTGACAAGCCAAAATTAATGGCTGACACTAAAACACATCCACAATGAACATAATGTTGATACAAGACAAAGAAAAAAAAGAAATTGTTAAACTATTAAATCAATAATAGTCATTAATCATGCTTATGCACTTTGTTGCCACATGTAGATATTTAAACAAATACAAGTAAACAAAATGTTTACCACTTGGTGTTCTTTGAGATGTATATACAACTTTCAGTGTAATTATAATGCCATAAGTTGAAAAAATATGGAGTATGAATGGTAAACTTGAACTAAGTCTGATTTTACATGCAATAGGGGTGTTTATACCATTAACTTAAGGTCTATCTGTAACCAATAAGTGTTCTTTTGCTGGTATCTATTGGCTACAATGATAATTTCAAACAAAATTAATCTTGATGAATGTTTTTAATGGTTGGTAAACCTCAAATTAAATTTTTCGTATTTGTTTAGAATGTTACATCTGCTTGAATAACTGTGCGGTTTTGAAATTTACAGGCTTACATTGGGTCAAAATATTTTCAAAATGAATGTAAGATTTTGAAAATGCAAATGTGCAAAATTTTTAATATTTATCTATCTAAGCAGTCCAGAGATTTTTAAAATACTGGTTATCCTGATGTAGAGAAGAGAAAAAAAACAGTTTAACTAGTTTGCAAGAATGTATAATAGTGATGTAATTTAAATTACTTAATAAACTGATTGACAGCAGATATCTTTGAAAAAGCTGCCCAGAAAGAGCAGATCTACCATATATATAGATCAAGTATTTGTAAAAAGCTCTGTAAAATAAGCACTTTCTGCAGTTTTCTTTAATTTTGCACTGAAAAGCAGATAGCAGCAATAATTAGTCTTGTGCTGCCATCTAGCGGCTAAAATATTCCTTCAACAATTCAAATAAGCATCAACACACTGATCAACTGTCCTCTGTCTCTGGACTGTCCGTCGGGAGACAGTTTGTTCAATTTAAACAAATTACAGCATTTACATTGAAACATTTAATTTCAGATAGCTTTTTTGTAGCTTAAAAATGAAACAAATTAAGGTTACATTATATTAGAATGGCAATCTCATCCCTATCATTCTCTCCTCAGACGTGATTGCGGGCCAAATCAATGGTTATCATGAGAAAACTTTGGCCGGTAGGCCCTAGTTTGGGCATCTTTGATCTAGTCAGTCCAGAGATTCTTACAACACTGGTTTTGTAGCGATTGACCAAAACAAGAGGGACAAGTTTGCAAAAGTATATTGACAAATCTTAAATGAACGGTGATTTGTGAAGCGTCAAAGTGTTCAGTATGAACAGGCCTATCAACTGATATGTAGTTTAGGTGTATTTGTGGAAATATGAATTTGTGGGGTGCAAATGAAGTACAATTACTGCATTTTTAGAAATTTAACATGTTTTAAAGACATTTTTATCTGTTATAGCGTCACCTATTCTTCAATCTCTACAAAATTGTCACGTGCACACCAGATCTTGTGAAATTTTGAGTTTTCCTTTTGTATTAACAGGCATGTACTGTAGGCACACCCCTTTTGTAAACAGCCTGTTACAGCTATACAAAGTAGAGTTTTTCCATAATTATTGAACCAAGTTTGGTGATGATATCATTAAAAAGTTATAGCTACAATTAGCAATTAGTTTCAATTAGCATGAAGCTTTTTGTTTACTGTTTCACGTGAAATTCAAAACATCAACTTTATTAAAAATTAATTATTGATAGTCAGTGTCCAGAGAATATTTCTGCACTAATTTGGTTCCAATCAGGCTAAAAACCTAGGTAGGTTTCAGATCAACAATGCATAGTAAAGAAAATCTACTCAAACTTATTTGGACTAACACAAGTATTGCAATAATGTAAAATTGTGTGTGTGTGTGTGTGTGTGTGTGTGTGTGTGTGTGTGTGTGTGTGTGTGTGTGTGTGTGTGTGTGTGTTTTTACATTTTAATAAAATCAGAATTTTAATCATTTTGATAAAAAAATCAGAAAGTTACTTGACACAATACTAATAAAAAATATGAACAGGGCACACTATTAATTGCAGGGGAGCAATTAAATCAACCTCTCTAATGCCCCTATTGTCGTAAAAAAAAAAAAAAAAACACATTTCAAATAAGAAATTCAAACTGAATTAGTAGATGTGTTTGTGCCTATGTAGAGATAGTGGATCAGTGCTTCCTCTTAAAGGTTTACACCTAGAAATGATGCAACAGGTAACTCAAAACATGGAACAATTTTTTAAAAAGTCTCAATTTAAACTCTTGAAATGTCACCAAGGAAGACTGTTCGATTTTTTTGTATAAATCTGGTGAATTATTCTTTGTCTGTTTTTTTATTTTTATTTTTTTTATCCCATATATTTAATTTCTCAATCTTTCAAACCTTTGGCAATGGTCTAGTTTCTCCAACAACTGTGTTTGCTAAGCATGTTGAAAAAGAGCAAAATGCAAGGGATAGTTCACCCATCTTCTGTTGAATACAAAATAAAATATTTGGAAGAAAGCTGCAAACCTGTAAACATTCACAGTACTTCCATAATAGGAAAAACTAATTATATGGAAGTCAGTGGACAACTTTCTACAAAATATCCTCTTTTGTGTTTAATAAATGATAGTACAGGTGAAGTTTAGAAATGCCATCAGATCTGGTAAATAAAACAACAACTGCAATCAAGTCTTCCATGAAACATTTGAGTAAAAATCAGCTAACTGAAAAACAATGTGTAATTTTGCTTAAGTTTTATATGCTAATGGCACCTATTAAAATGCTTTGCTTTAGTAACTTCATGACCCTGTCCTAATACACTTTACTGCTACAGAAGTTGTATCAAAAGTTTATGATAAACATTTAACAGATTTATTGAAAATGACAATAATACATAAATGTGCTTTCCAGATTTAGTTGCATTAGTAAGAAAAAAATTAAAGCGCTTAAACTGAGTCCTAATCAATACAGTTTGTTAAAATTCAGTTAGGGACTACTTCCTCGTCTCTGCCTTTGTTACCTCCCACGTGGAGTTGGTGCCTCTATCCTGAAACAAAAAAAAATTCAATTTAACAGCATTAACCATAAAGAGATGCAATGGCCTTTGCTAGAAAATGTTGGATACTTTTATAGTTTAGAATATCTACATATTATATGTGAAAGAAAACAATTAGGTAAGTATGTTGTTTGCACTTTATGTTTAAAGAATCATTATAATGAATTGTCCTTTAACTTTAGAAGTCTAACAGTATATCAATTTACCTTAATGTGGACTCCAAGGGGTGCTAGATTATTCCTTAAGGCATCACACGCTTTCAGTAAGCTTAAGTGTAATCTGTCTGGTTGATGATGCCTTTTCTGATTTTTATTGCCAGTCTGGGATTCCTGTGGTGCTTGGTCTTCCACAGAAAGAGCAAATTTACGAACTTCACTCCGAAAATGAACCAACTCCTCCACAACATTATTCAAAACTCCAGAGGAAACTTGGACTTCCTAAGGGACACAGGGCAAGTTCTTTTGTAAATCTACACATTGATTGAATAAAAAACATTGCCATTGTCTACAAAGGACACTTTTTTGAAAATGTGCTTGCTCAGATGACAGTCAGATCAAACTTAAAATTTTAAGCAATGTAAATAATGTTCTGTATACTATACAGAATAATCTGTAATATTGGTGTTATAAGGATATTCTTTGAGTGGAGATAAATGTTGAAAAGCTAATCGGGTACATAACAGAGTGGAAAGTGTGTTAAATTTACACATACAGTTTTTTTTTGTTTTTTTTTTTACTGTTAACGGAAACATCACAATTATAGTTATATAAGGGACATGGACATATGTGTAGACTCTCAGCTTTCATTTCATAGTATTCACATTCAAATTGGGTGAAGGGTTTAGAAGTTTGTGCTCCTTAACACCTTCTTTATAAAGACACCAAAAGTAATTAGACAATTGACTCAAAGGCTATTGTATGGGCAGGGATTTTCTTTGTTATGTCATTATCAATAAGGTAGATAGGGCCTGGAGTTGATTCGGGATGTGGTAAAAGAAGTGGTAAACTCAGCAACACAAAAAGACCTGTATGCCCATGGAAGACAACACTGGTGGATGATAGCAGAATAATTTTCATGGTGAAATAAATCCCTTCACAACAGCCAATCAAGTGAACAAAGCTCTTCAGGAGGTAGGCATATCAATATCCAAGGCAAGCCCACCATAAAGAGTCTGCATACAAGTAAATACAGAGGGTATACTGTATGGTGAAAGCCACGCATAAGCTTTAAGAATAGAAAGGCTAGATTGGGCTTTGCTTTAATAAAAAAAAAAAAAAAAAAAAATCTATCAGAGTGCTACATCACCTATAAACAACTGCAGAGGCAGTGTGATGGCTTGGGCATTCATGGATGCCAGTGGCACTCGGACACTTGTGTTTGTTGATGATGTGACACAGGACAGAAGCAGCTGAATGGATTTCTGTGGTGTTCAGACATATACTGTCTGCTCATATACAACTAAATGAAGTCAATTTGATTTGGCGGCATTCATAATACAGATGGACAATGACCCAAAACATACAGCCTATGCAACCCATGCATTCCACTTATCGAAGACTGAACTTTAGACAGAAAGGCCCACAAACAAACAGCGACTGAAAGCCGCTACAGTAAAGGCCTGGCAGAGCATTAAAAAGGTAAAAAACCCAGTATCTGGTGATGTCTATGAGTTCAAGACTTCAAAGGGTTATTTTAGGGTTAAGGGTTTTAACTTTCAAGCCTATGTGATGAAGGGAGTTGTGTGCTAAATAAATGCTTTAGTTCTTCACATTTTTATGCAATATTTATACAGTATTTTTGTTTAATCCACTAAATTCATTACACAAGTGTAAATGCTGGATTGAGATTCAGCACATGATCCCTAATCAGTTTTGTCATTAGTCGGAACTCTAGATGGTTTGTAAAACTAAATCTACCAATGTTATTTTTATTCTCTCATATCCAGACCTTTACATCTTCATGGCTGTAGCTCCCTGTCAGCGGAACTGGGTTTGCAATGCATACCGAACCGAAAGTCTCGTACCGAACGGTTCAATATAAATACGCGTATCATTACACCCTTAATATATATATATATATGTGTGTGTGTGTGTGTGTGTGTGTGTGTGTGTGTGTGTGTGTGTATGTATGTATGTATGTATGTATGTATGTATGTATGAAATTGTATTTATTTTTATTTATTTAAAAAGTATTTTAACAGCAAGTAACATGAGGTAAGAATTTCTTACAGGGTTTTTTGAGACAATGCCACTATGTTAAACTTAAGTTGCTTACATTTTGTTATTGCACTCCTTTTTTATTAAAAACATAAGCATTGCAAATGTAAGGATTTCACTGCATGTCATATTGTGTATGACTGTATGTGATTATTAAAAGTTGAAATTTTTTACTTTTTAAATGTGCATGTAATAAAACATTGACATTATAATTATATTGTACTTTTAAGTATCAAATATTTTACTTAAAACATTGCTCATATATGCTTATTCGATTATTTGTAATATATGTCATTGTGAAAGTAGTTTAAATGTGTTTATGTATTTTTTTTTAAAGGTAGTTTGGCAGTAGCTTAACTACTTTAACTTGTGAGTATCTTGTAGTTTATCAAGCAACAGTTTCACTGTAGCATCCACAAATATCTAAATACTGAACCAAGCGGCAACCTTTCGCTATCCCTCGGGAAGCCAATACGGAAAGTAACTAAAGCTGCAATTCATCGACTCCCCTTTAGGGGCTGTCTCCAGGAAATCCAGATGATTTTTGACTGCAATGGCAAATTGGCCATTTTATGATGGTTTTGGTTTATATAGCTAATTTTACACTTCATGACAACTGTGAGGGGGATAATTTGTTTTTTATAACTCATCCATTCATTTTTATTAGTTTTTATTAAGTCTGAATAATTAAGGGCGTGGCCACTTGAGTGACAGCTGGGTCTTGCTGGTCGCAGTCTTATCACCGTAGCTGATTCCGACTGATCAGCCGCTGAAATTGGCTTATACATCGTATTTGTTTTGTTTTATGTGGCTTTACACAGTCAATTGCTTTTTGGAATTATTTCCTGCAATTATCAGATAATTCACTATTCTGTGAGCATTTAATTGTGCTCACAAACCGTTCAAGTTGCCTCCATTTCCCAGGTGAGTGCAATTATATACAATCTCATTAAACGTATTTGTTTTACTGAAGATAATTTATCATTTATAATTTTCTTTAGACCTGTAAAGCACTCCAGAATCTAAAAGATTAATTAGCTTTAGGCTATAGAACAGTCATCTGAAACGTTGTCATAGTTTTATGCCTGGATTTCATCAATAGCCTTGCATTTAATAACACAGACTATATTTGAAGTGTTTGGAAGTAACTTGCATTTTCCTCCTGTAGAAAAACGTCATAAGAACAATGTTTAGTGGCTCAGTGTATTGCAAGACTGTTTTTAAGAGTCTAAACACTTTATTGATATAGTATACAACCAAGCACATGTCGTCATAACACAAATGAGTCGCAGGTAATAAAGTATTAAGCATTTAAGCATCCCTAATGAAAAGCCTGTCTAAGCCTGTCTTTTTTTATTATTATTTACATAAATGTTAAAAATCTATACTCCTTTAGCTTTGATAGGGACGCACAATATTGAATTTTTGTCGATATCCCCTTAGCCTTCTGGCCAATAAAAGATACTTTGTTTTGTGTTTGAAGGGGAATGTTAATTTTAAAAGGGTCAGATTTGTGATTTAAATTCCCCATTAGTAGTAGATTCAAAATCAAATGTAATTATTTTATTTATCTCATGACACCAATTATGCATAATTCATTGTCATTCAAGTCCAAGTATAATGGTGCCCCATGTAAATCAATTGTTTTACCATGTAGGCTAGGGATGTCAATTTCACCAAATTCCTTTGATCGATGATAATTTAAATTGCCAATCAATTAATCGATAATCACTACTCAATCATAAACACAAAGTTTTAAATGTTTTAATATATTCAACTAGGCTAAAAGATTACCCAAGCTGTTCCACTTAGAGAATTAAAGTTATTAAAAGCTAAGTCCTTATTTACGATTCCTTTCTAAAATATATATGAATCTAGGCTACTGACGAATGAGCCAAATATGCAATGCATTATGGTCCTTGCACAGAAATGTTGTTCAGCCATTTATTGATTGTGAAATGTTCAATTTCACAAGGTACTGTTTAAAGCATAGATGATGTAATTTAATCGAAATATAGTCAATTAATCAGACCTAAGCATTAATTTAGTTGCAAATAAGTGATGTGAGGAGTAGCGAGCAGTCATTAGTGTCAGTCGCTGTCTTGGTAAAGCAAGTTTAATATAAAAAGATGACAGGTGACAGATGATTTCTTTTTTGAGTATTCTTTATTTCAGATAGTTGAATAACAAAACAAAAGTAAATAGCGCTATTACTCCTAACGTAAGCCATCTTTACTATGGTAAAGCTGATTTTATGTTTACACACTAGTTTATTTTTTAACAATGACAACCTGTGACACGCTCCCTATATTATTTAGAATGCAACTTTGATTACTCGATCTGAAATCGCATGCAAGTTCTGCTTTGTTGCAAAGTTTCAGCTTTGGGGAAACACTTATGTTTTAGTCGCTTACGTTGGACAAAGTGCGTGTCTCCATTGAGACGTCAGCAGAGACCAGCAATCATTGTATGTGTGACAAGTTGCACATTATGACAAGTTTTGCTCGCTACAAGGGCTGTGCAATAACTCAAATTCGATTTCGATTTTGACTTCTAACGATCATGAAAATCATAAATCGAGATAAACGATTATTGCATCATATACCGCCCCATTTCCAGTTGTACACATTTGTTGCTCTGCAAAGCTCAGTTTTGAATGAAAATTACTAAAAGCATTTACTGTATTGTAACGTTTGCAGCACGGGAATTCGTTTACATTTGAATCATGTTTTTTAAAGCGAGAAATAAGACTGCATGTCGCAGCGGTGTGAATGCGGTCACAGCATTCGGTCTCATTAGCACACTGTGCGCTCAGAGACAAGCAGGGCACACACATCTAAAGTCATCTTAATGTGAGCGCTTTATTAATCAAATAGGTGTCAAAACGCAGCGTTTAGTGATTATTCATATTAACCCTCATTTGTGTAATAAACAAACAAGTTGAGAATCAAAATACATGTCAAAGAGAAACCATTAAAGTAACAGCGTGCAATATTTCTGCTGCCACCTGTTTTAAGAATTAATCAATCAACAAAGAGAAAAATTACTCGCTGCTCTTGACTGAAGGATTTTCGTAGATAGAGTTTTATTCTTACAGTGAAGATGCTTAAAGCACAGTATGTTTCATATTTATATTCTATTGTATTTATTTCCCTTTCCTTATTTGCAGGGAGGGAAATAACTGCATATATGCCGATTTCTGTTTAATGGAAAGAAGATTTTTCGTCAACCCATTTCTAAACATAATAGTTTTGATAACTCATTTCTAATAACTGATTTCTTTTATCTTTGCTATGATAACAACACATAATAATTTACTAGATATTTTTCAAAATACAAGCCTTCAGATTTAAAGTGAGATTCAAAGGCTTAATTAGGGTAACTAGGCAAGTCATTGTATAACAGTAGTTTCTTCTGCAGACAATCAAACAATATATTGCTTAAGGTGGCTAATAATATTTCAAAAAATTTCTTCAAAATATTTAAACCTACTTTCATTCTAGCCAAAATAAAACAAATAACACTCTCCTAATAAAATATTAAAGGAAATACTGTGAGAAATTCCTTAATCTGTTAAACATCATTTGGAAAAAATTTCTAAAAAAAAAAAAAAAGTTTTTCAAAAGGTTTTTAATCATAGTATTATAAAGTACTATAAAGTTTTCTAACTGGTGAATGACATGATCTAGTGTTATAAGGTTATCTATGGTCATCTATTCGCTGTATGCATTTATGACTTGAGAAGGCGTGGCTTTGGAAGGGAGGGACATGCATTTAGCATTATCCCAGATAATATAATGCTTATAATTAACAAATTAACTTACTGGCAAGGAATAGATAGTGATGTTTGATATCTCACCGTTTTGTCTGATAGATCCACTCCAAAAACACTCATTATTTCCATAACATAGGACATTATGGCTCCAAATACAGCAGGACTCCTAGGCCCATCCACCTGCAGACACAGTTAAAATGATGATTAAAAGCCATTAAGTTAACATTTTAAAAATGTGTAATGGAGATGAAGAATGTGAGGCCTTAGTGACCTACCCTATAATTTTACCTTAGTAGCAGGCTGAAGCTGACAGTTGCCATGGTAAATGAGACTCATGATGGCATCCACAGCTTTTGGTGTGTCAAAGTCATCGGCAAGCATTTTATGAACACTGGTCTGAGTATTAGACAACCTTAACCAAACAAAAACAGTGAAGACAAAAGGCAAGTAAGATGAAGTCATTTATTGTAAACGCTTGTTTAGGCTACATTCAAACATCAGGAAAATTAACCATATTTACTATCAAGTACTGTATGACTAAGCATAGAGTGATAACCGTTTTCAAGGTATACCACAGTTTGGACAAGTCAAGGTTTTAAAACAGTCAAAATTTTCTGCAATACCATTTTAGGGTATGCCTATGATTTTTATCTTTTTTTTTTTTTTTTTTTGCTTTTTAGGACAACAGCATCTCCATTAGAAAAGATATCCAAATATGCCGTTTTAAATCATAAAAAATCTGTTTTTGAAAAAAATGAAGACAGTCAATGAGTCATTTGAATTATTTAGCGTGATCGAAATATTGTAAATGTTTCTCAAAATAAACATATTGTGTTCAAAAGCGAAAAACGCTTTTGCTTTTTACCCAGACATTTAAAAAGAATATATTTTAGAGCAGTAATCACAATACCGCGAAACCGTGATATTTTTATCCAAGGTTATCATACCGTCAGAATCTTATACCAGTCTATGCACGACTATGTATTGTTCTGTACATACAACATCTCAAATGAGTATCTTGATTACTGTATATGAATGAATGAGAAACCAAAGCCAAACCCCCTTTTCGTTCTTCTGAAAGCTATATACAAATAATATTTGCAACCACGACAGCATTTGAAATGATCATCAAAAATAGTAATCGACGCATGCATGTTTCCTACAATAGGTTTTAAATCATTCAAGGTCAAAAATCTGTTTAATATTCTCATAAAAGCCAATAAGTTGCAATATCACCTATCACCTGATGTCAGCAACTACTATGCAAAGAAAACAACAGAATAAAAAAAAACTATTTTATTACATACAGCTTCTGTATGTCTCTGCAAGCAAACTGATCCAAAACTAAAGAGATAGAAAATAATGGTAACGTACATGAATGAAGTTATCTAAAACACTGAAGAGAGAGACTTGCCTTTGTGCCTGATCTCTGCATCCAATTATCTGGCGTGAAAAAAATGAGTATGCATGCGTACACACTGACAGGTAAGGGTCCGGACCTTCCCTAAGTGAATAAAACTCAAGCAAGTGCTACAATTCCCCAGTGAGCAATGAGCATATTTGTTTTCAAGCAGCAAGTGAGGCATACTTTTGGTAGATCTCTTCACCTGATGTTACAAAGAACTGGCGAACAGTAACACATTTCATTTATTGTGTCATTTTCGAAATCCATCTATGGGAAATATTGCTAGCTTCCTGATTATTCAATATACTCACAGTGAGACCCTATGTGCTAAAGCAGGGGTTTTCAAACTGTCTAGTGGGTCACACAATGAAGAAAGGTGGGTCACGCAACGTCACTTAAGCCTAGTTCACACTACAGGATTTTAAACATCAGCAGATCGCTGTGCCGTTCACACTACATGACTTGACTTTGTGTCTTTTAATCTCTGTGGTGTTCACACTACGCAACACTCCGTGAACGATCCACAAGAGGGGGATCACACACTACATGATCTGACAACAATTCATTCCCCATCAGCTCATTCAAGCTACCAAACCACAGCCAATGAAATTTTGAGGGAGGAGTCGTCAGAAAAAGCCGAACACTATTGGCTGCTTGTGTGCTGATGACAGCACTGACACAGTTTCAAGCTTTGGAGAAAGCATTAAAAACATCGTCAAATCAGCTGATTTATCAGCGGATTAATCACTCATCTGCAAGGTTCGAGTGGATAGATACACAGAGTTTTTAATTTTTTTAATTTTATAACTCTTTGAAATAAAACTAACAAATTTATAACACCCTGCCGTTTTCTAACTATCAGTGTATTTCTTTCTGACATCCTCACAAAACAGTGAAGAACTGAGCAATTCTGCCTTAAATTACCATATTGGTCAAAATGACTGTATGCATGTCTGATACTTTTCACTGTGACTTTAAATATGTGTGCATTTTCTTGCCTAGCAACTTCCTGCTAACATAAACAAAACTTTCTGATAGCAAAAACATCAATTCACTTCAGATATCTTTCAAAACAGCATATTTTGTGCTGTGAAATAGCTCCTGTTTGAAAGTGAATATAAAAGCCAAGTCCTTTAAGTGTTTTAGTATCTTAACTACATATTTATAGGCTGTATTACCAAAAAAGATTATATTTTTAGGGTAATGGTGTCATTAAATATGATGCCAGACATTCAAAGCTTAATTTTAATATCTCAATAATAGCTTTGAATGTAAATATGTTGTGACAATATGGCGTTTTATATGAGAACGGTGAGCATGAGCAGTATGGTAATTCTAATAGTTACAGAATTGTAGTTCCACTGTTAATATAGCCTACTCTTATGTCTGTGTTAATGCAGAATGAAGCGAGTGCACCGATGCCCATTCTGACCAATCACAGATGTTTCTGGCGAGCTCCTGAACACACAGGCATTCAGCTCATGCTGATATGCTCTCTCATTGGCTGCAGCTCGTCACTACATCTGACCACACGTCGGGTTGAGTCGGCGGACTGCTCTGGAATATTTAGCATGCTGAATGTTGGATTTCCGTCTGCGAGGTGTCGGCGACGCGTCAGCGAGCCTCGTCGATGCGTTGTTTAGTAGTTCACACATAAAGAGCGGCGAGCGCCGTGCACCAACAGATTTCTTCCCGATCACAGCCCGATCTGTCAGCGAGCTCGTTAACTTCCAAATCGGGCTCAAATCAGGCTTAAAATCCTCTAGTGTGAACCAGGTATTAGCTGCAGCTATATTTACGTTGCGGTGAATCAAAACCAGTATGATAATGAGCAAACAACTCTGATTCAGTTTTTCAAATGAATCATTTAGGTTAAAACACATGAGCTAAAACAGTCTAAATCAGCTTACATTGAATGACTGAGTCAGATTCATTTGTGTTGAACTGTCACGTGTCTACGTCAGTAGCATGCAGCACTCATGACCGCAGCCGCAAAATATTTGGTAAAATGGAAAAACTAATTTTAAAACTAAAGGCATTGCAGACTTCTGATACGTCTTCAGATAAAAACAAATCTAAAAAAGGAGCCACACAGAAAATATCATCAGTCCTACCTCGATCTTAGTTTTATTACCGGCAGAGGTCCAGAGGGTGAGGAAGTCCTGCATTGTCTTTTATGCTTAGAAAAGCTTGCATATGCTAGCATGAACCCCTTAAAACTCAAACGGCACCTTACAACAAAACTATCTGCAAATGTTAACAAAGCTTGATCATATTCTCTTCTAAAAAAATTTATAAATAATAAAAAAATAATAATAATAAAATAATAAAAAATCTGAGTTACAGCCAGCATCCCAAAAAAAGCACTTCAAGCCTCATTTTGTGCATATCAAATCACAAAATCAAAAAAGCCACATACCATATATTTTTGACTGCTTTAAATGGATAAATTTTTTACCCATTTTTCAATATTAAAATATTATGGTGGGTCTTGAGATTGAATTCCTTGCCTAGGTGAGTCCTGGAATGAAAAAGTTTGGGAACCCCTTTGCAAGAGAACAGTCAACTGGAATTTACTCATGCACATGAATAAGCTGAGCTAGACAAAACCAGACGTAAAAGTGTAGAGAACCTAAAGAACAAATTAAGCAATTAAGATAGAATGAGCTACTGAATGAGCTTGGCAAACATCAAGCAACAACAAATGCATGCAAGTCCAGCTTGGAGTGGCACAAAGGGAATCCCATTGATTTAAATGACAATGAAATGGCTTTCAAAAGCCAAAGCAAGGATTTAAGTTGTCTTGGAGGGAAAAAGTTTAATAGGGATATCCCAAGAGCTTTTTATAGTTAAAAAAGCCTCCAGCATACTGGAGATATCAATAGATATCTTCTTGCGTGCATCAGCTTTAACAGGAGTTTTAAGTGCTTGATTAAGGAACAGACTTTCACCTGCCAGTGGGCACACACTCTTGTCTGACTTGGTGCAATCAGATGCTTCTTGAGATGTTAGGCATCAAGATGATGAAAGAGTACACATGGCAAGTGTGTGCTGCTGTGTGAAGTTGTGAACCTGGCAGTATTTATGTTACTGTTTGGATCAAAATGTATACCAGACCCTGAAAATGATCTGCTTTTACCTCTCCCAGAGAAATCCTTCCTCTACAGGCTGGCACTGCATGTGGCCCTGCATGTAGGCCTGTGCATTGTGGAAGAAGGCAGAGATGGTGGACAGTGTAGATTGGGCTTCATTCATGCTAGCATCACTATAGTCGATTGCTGGACAAACAAAAGATAAAAATGTAGAGCATCTAGTGGACATATTGCAGGTGTACTTTTTAGCATGTAACGTACCTGATCTGTATTTGGTCAGAAGACAGAAAAGTCGAAACTCATTAGCAGTATAAGATGCCAGAAAATCCTAAATTATATATATATATATATATATATATATATATATATATTAAAAAGAGAGAGTTAGATTTAAATTATGCAGTACATTTATCTTAAAAACACAACACATCATTATGTACATTTATATTTGTTACCTTTATAGTTACATAATTCTTCAAGGATTTTGACATCTTCTCTACACTTCCTTTTAAATGAAGGTGCCCTTGAAAACAGTTTTTTGTTGTTTTAATTTAATTTCCATTTATTGTATTAGTTAAAGTAAAATTTCACAAATACACAAGCATTTAAATCATCCCCTCCCAATTAGAGCTGGGCGATATGGCAATTTTTTTTTCCATATCGGTAGATATAATTATCACGATAAATGTAAAAGTTTTTAGCACACCAATAATCCCTTTGTGCAGCTGATTTAACACAGTTTGTGAGATGTTTCTGCTGTCTGACAATATAAATAAAACAATAAGCAAAAGATCAATCTTAATTCAGCCTTCACTGTTCAAGTTTTAAAGACATTACTAAGTTATTGGATATTATTGTTCAACATCAGAAAAAAAAATGTAACCGGTTTGGAACAAGTAAAAGGTGAGTTAATGGTCACAATTTTCAGTTTTAGATGAACTCTCCTTTGAATGGCAAGTATAGTGAATTTAGGGTGAAATATCCTATAATATATTTTATTTAGGGATGCTAACGATTACTTGATGATCTATTGATTGCCGATAACGCTTTAATCGATAGACCTTATCAATGACTGATTAAGCATGGACATTTAAAAGTTTAGTTATGCTTTTTATTTGATGGATTGTTTTGGAGCTAAAGCATATAGTGGGCTGTTATCATAGATGTTATTCATTTTTCTTGTTTATGCTGTAGATAATAAACCAACAAAATATACATCAAAATTAAGTTACATATTATACAAAATGAAATTTGTTGCAAAAGGATACATTTTCAAAAACATATATTTATTTTTTTTTAGTTTGTGCCTGTTTTAAACAACTGTGGGTGGATATATATTATTATATCGTGATAATTATCGATATGGAGTTATCGCCCAGTCTTACTCCCAATATTACTGCTTAAACCAGAATATTAAGGGCATTACCAGAGTGTAGAAAGTAGTTTCCCCACTGTTCACACTGATGATATGCCTCTGACTGGGCAATTTCATTCTCATGGTGTGGGAAGGCAAGGTCAATCCCTCCAGAGTGTATATCCAGCTGATGTCCAAACACTGAGCTGAAGAATAAAAACACAAACAATTTGTAATAGTGGTCACCATTGCATATGTTTTTTTAATGGGTTTAGGTGTTTTTCAGACATAACTGAATTTTACTGTTCTGAGAAGTAAGTTATTCTTTGTCAACAAGGGTTGGACTACAAAACTGAAACACTGGCCATTTTAGTGCTGGAAATTTCATAGCTAAACTGAATGGAATCCAAAATATTCAAAACCACAGCTGCACAACTAACTGCAGAATTAAATGTGCACTTCAACTTTTCTGTTTCCACAAAAATTGTTCGTAGGGTAGGATCAATATAAATGGCTGGGCTTAAACCCTAAAACCAAACCTTTGGTCACTTGTGCTAATGCCAAACGTCAGTTTCAATGGTGCCAGCAGCAAACACCTTGACTGTGGACTACTTTTGAGTGTTTTGGAGAAGCGAGTCCGAAAAAGTTTTACTCCACTAGCATCATGTAGTGACCTGGCCCCTATTCTGCAGGAAGAACAGCTCAAAATCCCTCTAGCCACTGTGCAGGACTTATATCTATTATTCCCAAAATTATTTGATGCTTTATTTTTCGCAAAAGGAGGCCCTACACCGTACTAATGAATTATTGTGGTCTATAACCAGACATTTCAGTTTCATTGTCCAACCCCTGCAATTTGTGCAAGGATTTCCATTCATTTCTTCAGGTGAGTGCACTTTGCAAATCTTAAACATGAGATCTCTTCAATGTTCGTTGTTTAAAAAACAAAAACTTAGATAAATTTAGTTAAAACCAGAATAACAGTACAGTGTGCTCTTTTGGTCCCACATGCGCTTGAATGATATCAAGACCAAAGTAATAATGCGGTTTGATAATTGACCAGTTATTTAATGAAAACACTATGCACTCATTCTCTTATCTTAAAGACAAATTTATGTTGTCGTCAAGTGATTTCTTTCGATACTTACAATTAAGAAGCTATATTACAAATCATAAAGAAAAGGAAATATTCAAAAAAGTCCCAACTAATGTGGAACAGTATTTTATTGATATAAAAAAACAAAAAGGATTACATAAAAGACACATTTCACAGATATATAATAGCCTAATTCTGGATTCAACAGATAACACCCTTCAAATTAAAGAAAAATGGGAATCTGAACTTAATGAAAAGATTGAGGATGATATTTGGGAAAACATATGTTCAGAAGCTCAAAAGGGGATCAACAGCCATAACTGGAAAGAGTTTGACTGGAAAACAAAAATTAGGTTTTTTAGAACACCATTGATGGTCTCCAAATATACTAATCGTCCACAGTCAGAGGAATGCTGGAGGGGTTGCGGAAATGTAGGTAATCACGCACATATATTATGGGAATGTCCGAAGATACTTGCATTTTGGCAAGGGGTAAAGATTGAGATAATGAAAATTATGCAGGTAGATCTACCTTTTACTCCCCTGTTTTTCTTGCTTGAAGGGATACCCCAGGATATATATAATAAAAACCAGAGATATATACTACATATACTTTTACTAAGTGCAAGAAAGACCATAACAATAAATTGGATGAAGCCACACCCTCCAACAATAGTACAGTGGATAGAAAAACTTGATTGTATATATAGAATGGAGTATATGACTGCTCAACTTCAACTAAAACTGGATATTTTTAAACAAAGATGGGCACCTGTTATGTTGTACCTGAATAGGACATAGTATTTCTAGCTCCTTTGAAACTGAAAATATTGTATGTTTTTTTTTTTTTTGTAATTTTTTATTTTTTTTATTTACATCTGCGGCTACTGTCTTTTTTTTTTTTTTTTTGTTAATAACCGCTGCTGTCACTGAATGTTCTGTTCTGTAAAACGTTTTAATGTATAAAAATAAAGTTAAAAAAATAAATAAATAAATAATGCGGTTTGAATGAATGCTTTGGGTTTGTGTTCATGGTGGTTAAGCAAAAGGATGAGTAAGAGTGAAAGTACATTATTATGGCCAGTGATCAGAGGACCTTTATTATGAAGGTGCGGACACCAGCTGGCCAAAAGGAAATTTCCTCACAATATAGAGATTGATAAATCACTCCGGTCATTGTTTTTGCTTTAGTCATGGGCATTTAAATTGTGGCTGACTTCAACCCTGTCAATAAAAGGCAGATTCACCAACTCTTTAAACACTTGTGTAGTTACTGATCCTTTGAATTGCTTTAGTCACGTGACCTGGGTATTTCGAAAGATTTTGGAGCAGTGTTCCACCTACAGCTACAGTACAGTTCATCCCTGTCATAGATGTTTATGTATGTTCAAGTGGGTCCTATAAGAGTAACTTGACTGTCATGACTTGAGACTTGACTTGAATTAAATTACTCGAAATAACTTGTTTTTGTTGAATACATAACAGTTTGTTATAAATTATATCTATCTTTAAAAAAAATAAAAAAATGTTATCAGGTTCTGAGATTGGTTCTCTGTACTTCTCCGAAAAAAGCACTGCAACGGATTCCTGACTGGAGTTGATGATTTTTTAAATTAAGTGGATAACTTGGGATATTCTTTTTTTTTCATGTCAGAGTAATTTGTGGATTAGTGTTTACTGGAAATGCAAACCAATTTAAAAGAAACGGTTGGATTTGCAGAGCTATCAAATCAGTTGATTAAAAAAAACACTTTAAATGATTTATTAGATTCATCAAGTTTATTAGATTCATCAAGATTCATCAACATCAAGTTCAGCTGGAGAAAGAAATGGTGATCTCTTTTATAAGATATTGCCATAGTCACTCGTAATGTCTGCGCTCCATTGATAATGCCTTTTTAAAGTCACGGTGTGCGCGCTTAACTCTGAGTTGGTCTACTCGAAGTTGATTGACCCAACTCAGATCAGCTGTTCTGAAACCGAAAACTCTGAGTTTTTAATCTCTTGGTAAATCAACTCAGAGTTCAAGTTTAAACTCTGAGTTGTTTGAACCTCCTTACTGAAACAGGCCCCTGATGGTGGCCAGGAAGGTCTAACTAACAGCTCTTTAGCTTCAACCACCATATCAATCACAACTAAACTTTTGTGTGCACTGTCTGTCTACGCCACTAGGACCACGATAAATACATCGCTTCATCCCCCATACCAACCAGCTAGTTCCATGTAACAATCTCAAACACCTGGAATTCCATTTACAGTGGATACAGGGCTCATCTGCAACTCCCTTAACACTGTTTCAATGATCCAAGACTCCGTATTCTCTTCTGCATTACCAGTCACTTCACATCTTGCACATAAATCACTGACTGGTGTATAAACAGGCTGGCTTCCTCTCTCTGTAGATTCATTCCAGTTATTAATAAATACTGTTAAGCTGACTTCATCTCTCAATTATCTCCTCATGGCAGGTAGCCTTTGCTATGGTGGTGTATTCAGTTCTCACTACTGTGTTTGTGCACTTGGATGGGCAAAATGCAGAAAGTGTTTCTAAGTTTAGCTGCTTTGTTTACACTGCAAGATGGATCGGCGACTGGGACTTTCACATTGCATGACTTTACTATAGGAAAAATCGCCGACAACTTCATCCAAACTATGTCTCACAGCCAAAAAGTTATTAACTACATAATGAGAAAGAAGCCTTTAATGGGGTAGAAAATGTACATATTTGCTCACCTGGGTTTAAAGGGAATTAGCCATTTCTCCTTAACGTTAATAATAAACTAAATTCTTTCTGTATGAAACGTCAAACAGACACAGTTGCTCCTGAGTCCTGTCAAACCTCCACTAGTTTTTCCTCCATTTCGTGGGTCCAAATAAACCGAAAAAGAGCACTTTTAACTTTTCCCCCAGCCTCCAGCTGGCCTGCAGCAGGTATACACACTCGCACACACAAGTGAATGCCGCTCTCTCATTGGCTGTAGGCGATCGCTGATGTTATTTTCAGGCAAAACTCAATTCACACGGCATGATTTGAATTCTCTCAGATCACGTCTTTGATAGTTCATACTGTGTGATTGTCACTTACGTGCATAAGCACCGATTTGCCTGTGATTTCAGGCATTTGTCTGCGATTTCTCAAAACCTGTCGGCGAGCCAAAATCGGGGCTAAAATCACGCAGTCTGAACTAGGCATTAGAGTGTATAAAAGGCATGGAAGAAATGTTAAATGAAATAAAAAATGCATTTTGTAATGATTAATTAAATACTGGAAAATAATTTATTTTATATATTATTTCATTTTTAAACATTGATGCAAATGGTTTAAATGGTTTTCTGAATTTTTGTTTCAGACGATAACTTTAAAAAATGTTCAACTGTGCAACACGAGCAACTGTGTCTGTTTGCAATTATTCATGCAATGCATATAATCCATAAAAACACAAGAGTTAAGGCCTTGTCTCGGGTTATTTTAATGCTTAAACTAAGAAAACTATCTAAAGAATGCAAACAAATTTAAACATTAAGTTTAGAAATTTACCTAGCAATTGTGGAACATTCAATGTGCCACCCAGGTCTTCCTTGTCCCCAAGGTGACTCCCAGTAAGGTTCAAATGGTTTGGATGCTTTCCACAAAGCAAAGTCTCTTGAATTCTCTTTGTCCTGAACCCCTAAAATATAAAAATCTGTACATTACTCTTCAAAACTTAGGTCATAGTTTCCAGTAGATATTAATAACATAAATTCACTTCTCTTATAAACAGTAACAAATCAGTAATATGTCTTTAGCGCTGTTAAGCAGGTTGGTTTGTTAAGAAGAACGGTTTAAGATAAAAGTGTCCACATGTACCAAAGAAGACTTCAAAAGAAAAGTGAACATACCCTGTTCCCCAGCATTTCCTCCAAGATTGACAAGCTTGCCATAACGATGACTAATAGACTTCGTGTTAAAGTAGACATTCCCTGGATTAACAAATAGTAACAACCATTCAGTTTCATGCTGTTTACACAAGGGGGATTAAAAAAAAGAAATAATAGAAGCACCTTGACTTGTGACATAGGCATGTCCATTTCCAATAATACGCTCTATAAAAGCTATAATTTGAGGTATATTTTCTGTCACCCTCATATATACTACGGGAGGAAGAACCTGGACAAACAAACAAAAAATTGTAAGACGTATTAACATTTCAGGAAATATTAACACAAAAAATGGTGATTTACCCGCAGTGCTAGCATATCCTTTTTAAATTCTTCCTCGTGCATTCTTGCAAGAGTGATGGGTGAGATGTTCTCCTGAAAAGAAGTTTACTCTCTACATTTAACTTACATTTTTACATCCCACAATGACTAATTTGACATGTACAAAAACATAGATGAAACATTATCAGTAGACACCTACCTCAAGGCTTCTTTGTATGATTTTATCATCAATGTCAGTGATGACCATAACATGAATGACATTAATTCCAAAAAGTCTTGATAATATCCTTTGGAGAATATCAAATCTGACATATGAACTGCACAGAAGAAAGAGGATGGCATTGGAAAAATGACCAAACAGTAACCCAAAGTTCTTAAAATGTTAAAATGCTCACTGATATCCAGAATTAAACGTAATTAAAAAAATTTAAACAGGATGAAGATGTCCAGATATACTGAAAACCAGCAAGATTTAGCTCATGACCAGAGTTTAAACCTACCTTACCAGCATGTGCAGTTTTTATTAGCAAGATACACTTTATGATTGCAGTATCAATAAATGAATACTGACTTGCTCCCTTGAAGCTAAACCAAAAACAAGATACAAGCTATAAAAACATTTAAACACTTACCACGCATGACCCAGATGGGCATGATCATAAACAGTCGGTCCACAGCTATACCTGAAAGTTACAGTGAGAAAAAAAATGAAGTACGATTGCAATTAACATGTACGAAAATCGTCATAGACAGCTGCCTTACCAGGTAGCAATTTTTTCTTGTGACAGAATTAAAGGTTCTTTCTTCTTGGTAAGACTATTGTAAGCCGTTACACCGGTGTCAAAACCCACTGGTTTTACCCACCCTCTTTCCGTCCTGCTGCATGCAGTACGACGGCACAGTAATGACGTTTTTGTAACTCCACTATGAATTTCACGCCTGATTCTAAAGCCAGAATTAAGTATCAGTGCTGAAGCCAGCCTCATTGTCATCCTAAGTTACATTCGTAAAACGCAAAGTATTTGAATAGAGTTTAAAAGATTGCGTTACTGAGATGACCTTAAACCGCAATATAACAAGACATTTAAACGCATTTTAGATGTTTAGATTTTGCAGTTGGTTCATAGGCTATAACCTCATCGACCTGTCATTGCAAAAATATGTAAGCATCTCGGTCGGTGCATTACTGATAAAATTAAATCGCTCTAAACTCAACTCATGGTCATCTTCTTCTTAAACATTTATTGTCGGGTGAGAAACAACAGCGTGGTTTATTTACGCCGCCAACTGGTAAGGAGTGTGGATCTTCTTGACGTTTCCCACTCTAAATTATATGATGTGGAGATAATAATTTTTTTTTTTTTTTTTTTTTTTTTGCCTTTCAAAAACAACAATTTAGGCCAAACTCAGTCCAAACATAATCTTACACAAACTGACTGAGACATGTCAGATATACAATGAATCAAGTACAAAACCAAACAAAAATAAATAAAAAACAATGTTTGAAATATCTTAATAAAACGAAACAAAAACAAATAAATAACACCATACCATGCAGACATCTAACAGAAACTCTGTAAGGGGTTAAATAAAACCATATTTAAGAAACAAATCATATAATCTTTTAGCTTTCTCACCTTTCATTATTTTTAAAGCTTCTACATAGGTGGCAAACTCCTTTTTAAACACAATCAATTGAGGAGCTGTTTTCATAATTTTGCATTTGTGGATGAAGAATTTAAGTAAAATGAGTAAACAATTTGCAGTAAAGTCCTCATCTTTGCTGTCCAAATGCACACCAAATTTCACAATGTACCAATAAATAGAAGGAAACCTTGAAATGTATTGTTTTATCCAGACTTCCACATTTGACCAAAAAGGATTAACCAAATTACAATGAAGAAATAGATGTTCAACAGTTTCAATATCACTATTGCAAAATTGACAAACATTACAATTCACATTAAATCTCTTTCTCAGAAACTCCTTTGCAGGGTAAATATCATACATAATTTTAAAATGTACTTCTTTGTTTTTTGGAGGAAGAGGAAATGTCAAATATTTGCATCTAATTTTTTTAACTAAATTCTTATTAAAATGTTGGAAAATATAATTTCTTTTAATAGGACCAGGATAGCATTCCTGTATAAGACATTTTCTAATAAATATATTTGTACATTTCTTGTCCATAAAATTTAACTTACCAATTTTAATGTCCCGAATTTTTGGTGTGACTGTGGAATAAACTAGTGTCTCTTTTAACATATTAATTAATGGTAAAGGAATACTTCTAATTACTTTAAAATAATCTTTTTTAACACAATTAAAATTAAATATATTACCAAGTTCATTACAACTGAAAAAACAACCATTCTTATCCAAAATATGCAGTACTGACCAAATACCATTTTGTGACCATTCCTCCAAAAAAAAAAGATTTACGTTGCGTTAATATGCAGCGATTGTTCCATAAAGACACATTATGAGGACTGAAGTTATGTTTGTACAACATTTTCCAATACAACAAAACCTGCTTATAAAAATTGGAAAGTTTCAGAGGAATTTTAGATAATTCAAAGTCACATTGTAAAAAAAACTTTATACCTCCTAGTTTTTTAAACAAATAAGATGGGATTACAAACCAATAAGAATCCTCATTTTTTATAAATGTTTGCAGACATTTAAGTTTAAGTATTATCTATCTTCACTATATTCCTTAATTATGTCATGTTTCCTAATATAATGATACTTTTTTCTCCAAATGAAGTCATAATTAATTTTATTTATTTATTTTAACTTTTTGGATGAAATTGATAATGAAAAGCATGGATAAATTAATCTGGAAATACTTTAAATTTTTGTTAGTAATATTCTACCGAAAACTGTAATATCCCTTTGTAGCCAAGAATTTAAAATTATTTTACTTTTCTCAATTTTTATGTCAATATTTAGCTTTTCGTTTCTCTCTACATCTTTTGAAATTATAATACCCAAGTATTTTACTTCATTTTTAACTGAGATGTTATAAAGTGAGGTCAAAGGGTGCTCATGGATGGCCATCAATTCACATTTTGATGTATTTAATTGTAAACCTGAGGCTTTAGAAAAACATTAAACTTGCTTAAGTGCTAAGGGGATTTGTGTATGGTCTTTTAAAAAAAGAGTCGTATCATCAGCTAGCTGACTAATTATAAAATTGTGATCCATAAAATTAATACCTGCAATATTTTCATTTTTAACAAGAATTGCTAATAGTTCTGCAACCAAAATAAATAATAGAGGAGAGCTTCCACATCCTTGTCTTATTCCTCTGTTCACCTGAAAACGAGGAGTTGTTTTTTTGTTAATAGCAACAGAACTATTTATGTCCTTGTAAAGCATTTTAATTATATTTATAAAATTTGATCCAAAACCAAAAAAACTTTAGGGACTGATAAAGAAACTGGTGTTCTACTTTATCAAATGCTTTTAAAAAATCCAGAAATAAAATAAAACTCTCTTCTTTAATAAAATTATTGTATTCTAGCATGTCCAGAACAAGCCTTATATTGTTATGAATACATCTGCCTTTTAAGAATCCTGATTGAGTTTCGCTAATTATTTGAGGTAGACCAATCTTTAATCTAGCAGCAATCACCCCTGAGAATATTTTGTAATCTGTATTGAGAAGCGTGATGGATCGAAGATTATCTAATATTCTTTTATCCTTTCCAGGCTTTGGTATCAGAATAATGAGTCCCTGCTTCATAGTAGGCATTAGATTGTTATTTTTTATGCACTCTTGTAATGCTTCATATAAAAATACTTTGAGCTCTTCCCAAAAAAACTTGTAAAAATTTGAAGTTAGCCCATCTGGTCCAGGCGATTTATTAGTTTTCATTTTTTTTAAGGACAGATCTAATTCATAAATGGAGAGATGTGAATCACAAAGGTCTTTGAATGAATCTTCAATTTTGGGGATACATTTTTAAATTTTTTTAAAGAACAATTCAGCGTCATCCTTGGAGTAAGATGACGTGAATAAGTTTGAGTAAAACTGTAAAACTTCTTTTGCCATTATATTTTCATCTGAACTTTATACTTGATTAATTAACAAACTACTCATAGCATTTCTTTCTTGGCGTCTTTTTTCAAGATTACAAAAATAGGAATTATTTTTTTCTCCAGCCTCCATTCAATTTGCTCTTGATCTTACAAATGCACCCTTTGCCTTTCCAATATAAACTTCGTCTAATGAAGATTGTAAATAAATAAGTTTTTCTTTATCGACCTCTTTTAAAGTATGTTTACTGCAACACTCATTTATCTCATGTAATAATTTAATTTCTTTTTCTAATCTAATTTTTTTCAATTGTTTTCCATATATTATAGAGTATTCTCTAATTTTGAATTTTAAAAACTCCCATTTACAGCCGCTAGACATACTTTTGCTACCAATATCCTTTATAATCTTCTTTATCTGTTCACAATATTTTTCTTGAGATAAAAGCTCTGAATTAAATTTCCAATATCCTTTTGAGTAACTAGAATCAATATTTTGCTTTAAATTTAGCTTAATTACACAGTGATCGGTTAACGGTGCACTAGAGATAGAACAATTATACACGTATTTAAAAACAGTGTCCGTGCCGAGCCAGTAATCAATTCTTGTTCTAGCCTCTGCGTTCGGTTTGACCCAAGTAAACTGTTTAATTCCAGGATTCCGCTTTCTCCAGATATCAATTAAATTATTTTGAACACAAAAATGTTTAATTATGTTATTAACATGAGCTAACTTGTGCTTAGAGGGCTCCCTATCTAGCCATAAGTCTGGCGTTAAATTAAAATCCCCTCCAATCAAAATAAATTCTGTGGGATAGGTGATTTTTAATTCACTAATAATATCAGTAATTAAGCAGAGTAAATCATTATTTTGGCTGCGGTTGTTATACCCGTACACATTTATCAAAATAAGGAAGTGTTTATCTAAATTAAGAACAATTACTAACCAATGTCCATCATCATCAGCTTTGTGAAAAATTATCTTACCGGGACATTTCTGCAAACAAATAGCAACTCCTGACATTTGAAGGATCACCTGACATTAAAGACTGAAGTAAGAACGCTGAAAAAAAAAACATCAGATTTTAGCCCAGAAGAGTTTCTCTTTTCCTAAATTAAAGCAAAACTTCATAATATTGTGTTTATGAATTAATTCGTGTGTGTGTGTGTGTGTGTGTGTGTTGCACTGCTGGAGTAAAGGTTAACCAGTCCACACAGTTCATGCAGCTATAATCTTTATTATCTTTTATTAATAAACTATGTACAATATTTACACGTCGGCTCCAGGGCTCTTGGATGAAGGTCTCTCAGCGACGTGGTCTCTTCTGGTCGCCGCGGGTCTCTGGTGCAGATGGGGAGCGGGACCGTTTCCCTCCGGCGTCCCGGACCGAAGATGCCGCACCTGCTGAGGACGAGGAGGGCAAAGGCTCGGTCTGGCAGGAGAAGGATGGCCTCTTTCTCTTCTCAGCAGCATAGGCCTCACTGAACAGATCGAGCGCAAACACACACACAAGCAGACATCATGTGAGATTTGGACAAACACTAGAACATGCGGCTATGCCAAGTACAGTTTACTCACGCGTCTATGATGGGAATGACGTATCTGCCGCTGCCGTCTATCATGACTCCCTTTCGGTCTGTGTCATCCACCTCCAACAGAAAGCTGCGGGGAATCCCTGTGCTCTTCCGGATGCGCTTGTGCGGAGCGGAGCCGCTGCCCTGTGAATTGAGGAGTGACAGTCAAACTCTGGGCAAACAATCTGACTGATGAGGACAAGAGCTCAAGTTCACAGCAACCGTGAGCTTGGAAAACCCAGTTACCACATTAGTGGGGCAGTGCCTAATGTGGTGTCCCGGGATCCCAAGCAGCCTCATGGCCTCACTAGTGAATATCAGAACCATGAGAATCAGCTCAGACATTTCTCACAAAGCAAACCTGTCAGTGTCTGAACGCTCACCTGCTGGAGTAGTAGCACAGGCTGGACTGGTACATCACCGCTTTCAGCTTGTCCTCCTCTGACGCCTTTGCCTCAGCCAGATTCTCGGTCTGTTTCACAGGCATTTGCACATTTGAATCTTTTTCACCCTCAACCCCTCAAACAATCTCAAATCTCCCTAAGAAGCTGAGTGTGTGTGCGTATATTGTGTGCTTTACATTGCGTTTTGCTATTGTGCTATTCATTTGTTCAATA